GAGGTTCAGTTTTTTGGCCTGTGCACATCCAGTTGTTCTTATCACTGTGTTGTTCAAGGCCATTAGAAGAGAGCCGGCCAAAACACCCTCCAGAGGGGCAGCAGCTAGAGGTTGGTCCCGTCAGTACAACAGCACACAGTTCAGAGGTAGAGTCCTGTGTGAGAGGGAAGTTGACATGTGGCCAAGAGCGCATTTAAAGTTGTTGATTATTCTTATTCAGTATTAAGTGGTTACAATTATTTGTTAAAAGACTATCTTTTCTCCATTGAATTGCTTTTGCACTTTTGTCAAAAATCATTTGGGCATATTTATGTGGCCCCCATTGAGTTTTTATTTTGAGAACTTTAAAAAGTTGTAGGGGCTGGGCACTGGTGGCTCACGCCTTTAATCCTGGCTACTCAGGAGGCAGAGATCAGGAGGATCATGGTTCAAAGCCAGCCCGGGCTAATAGTTCACAAGACCCTATCTTGAAAAAACCCTTCACAAAAAAGGGCTGGTGGAGTGGCTCAAGATGAAGGCCCTGAGTTCAAGCCTTAGTACTGCCAAAAAAAATAATAAAGTTATAGGGAAGTTGGGAAACAAATTCAGTGAGCCTCTTGTGCTGAATGTGTCTCTGTATAGTTGCATACATGCACAGGTTCATACGTATTCCAGATGTGTGCATAACACAGGCGCGTGAATATATCTAATGTGTGCATAACACAGGCGCGTGAATACATCTAATGTGCAGAGACATGCACGCACACACTACGCACAGGGCTCTCAGGCAAGCACTGTCGCCTGCAGGGTCCTTCCCTTGCTGGTTCTCAGCCCTTTCTCAGGAAGAGCCCATGCCACTTTGTGCAGCACATTCTCTTTTACACATCGTTGGCGTAATGTTCTCTGTCATGTTAGCCAAGTAGCTCCTCTTTTTTAGAGGCTGGAATATCGGGATGCTGGTACCTGTGCACCAGAACCAGTGCCGTTGTCTAGGATTTTCAGATGCTAAATAAGCAACTGGCAGTTTCCCTCTTTGCTTTTCTTTGATCTGAGTCCTTCTATTCTCTCCTCTTCTGGCCTTGGGGCTTCTGTACATAGCAGAGTTTGCTCCACATTAGTACTTGTGGGAAACAGACTTGCCATGAGCTTGAAAGGTCATCTGGGACTGTGAGTTGGAAGGGAGACAGGTTGGACTTGTATACACGTAAGGCTCTGTCCTGCTGGATGTGGCCTTTTCTAAACCAGCAGTATGAGAGTCCAAAAAGCGGAGGTGGGACATGGGATGCCATCTCTTTAATTTTATTTATTTATTTATTTTGGTGCTGGGGTTTGAGCCACTCCACTAGTCCCTTTTTTGTGATGGGGTTTTTCATGATAGGATCTCGAACTATTTGCCCGGGCTGTCTTTGAAACGTGATCCTCCTGTTCTCCACATGCTGAGTAGCTAGTATTACAGGCATTAGCCATCCAGTGCCTATTTCTTGAAAATTTGACCAAATGAGTGTTTATAGAAGGAAACCAAAGTTTAATATTCTTGGGCTGATGGAGTGGCTCAAGTGGTAGAGCACCTGCCTAGCAAGTGCAAGGCCCTGAGTTTAAACCCAAATACTACCAAATAAGTAAGTAAATAAATAAATATCTTAATAACAACATCCAGACTTAAGAATAGTTTAGGGGTTGGGGGTATGACTCAAGTGGTTGAGTGCTTACCTCTAAAGCACAAGGTCCTGAGTCCAAATGCTAGTACCAACCCCCTCCCCACAAAAAAAAATAAAATAAAAAAGAACAGCACTCACCCTGGGACCTAAATTTTACTTTGGTGATAGTTTTAGTGACAACATTGGTGACTAATAAGTAGCTGTGGGTATAATTTTTAAGGAGGAATAACAGAATCCTTTGCAAACTATTTCATGATACTTAAAGCAAAGAATATGAAGTTGCAAGCTGGCAGCATTGTGTCTCTTATGTCAGATGAGGGGTGGGGAATTAACCCCAGATACACCCTGCAGTCGGTGCCAAGTGCCCATTTCTCAGCTATGTCACAGTCACTTGCTGTGGGGTCCCTTAGCTGGCTATGTACTCCTCAGGCTGAGGCTATAAAGTTCTTGCTTTCCTGACTGTGACATGTTAGTGTTCTAGCATGAGTAACCTTAGGTAGCAGTGAGTGGGTCAGAAAGACTCTCTGACTGGCCTTGACAGGAACTTATCCTTGCTGAGTGTGTTTCCCAGTATGGTGGCCTGAGGGCCTGAGCAGTGGCCAGGTTACCAGGTGGACTGACTGTCCCACCGCTGTGGTTTCCCAGTGTGTCATCCATGACTAGAGTAAGAGGAGCATCATGACGCGCTGTTCTAACAAAAGGCCCGTATTTGTGTCTGTGCCCTCAGATGCTGGACCCTCCAACATGCATAGAGGTGGAGGACCAGGCTGTGTGCCCCATCCTATCCCCAGGCTCTGTGTGAAGGCCTCTCTTCCAGCTGTGCTCCCTGGCCCAGCTCATGGCCCATGTGTCCTAGTAACAATGGTCTGAGATTCTTAGATGCCTGATCCCCTGTTTTGTTTAAGGGCCTTCCAGAGTTGGTAGAATCAGGGCTTTCTGGAAGATTCTGTTCATCTGAATATGGGTGTCTACAAGGAAGCCTGTCACCTTAGAAACTAGCCAGTTCTCCCTCCATCCACACCAAGGGGTCAGTGCAGAGTATCCGGCAGTGAGTGCACCCTGTGACTCACTGCTCAGAGAGTACTTATGGACTTGGCCGGCACGTAGTGGGCTCCAGAGAGACTTTGACCCAGAGCCTAGAACTCAAACAGCTGAGCCTCCTGAGCAGTGAAACACCCATTGTGGCAGCCCCAACCCAGTTCACTAACTGTGGAGAAAACTGCATGTAGTGCTCTTCAAAGCCGTCATCGGAGGAGCAGCAGCTAGAGGTCTGTTCAGTCAGCACAACCCTGCACAGTGCAGAGGTAGATTCATTTATTTTTTGTTTTTGGTGGTACTGGGTTTGAACTCAGGCCTCACATTTACTTGCTAGGCAAGCACTCTACTACTTGAGCCACTCACCCAGTCCTTCTTATGTTTGGTGTTTTCAAGATAGGGTCTCTCAAACTGTTTCCCCAGGTTAGCTTCAAACCATGATCCTCCTGATCTCTGCCTCCCGAGTAGCTAGGATTATAGATGTGAACCATCCATGCCTGATTGATTATTCAGTATTTTGTGCTAACAACTGGCTGGCTGTCCATTTTGGTACCAGGGAATGATCAAGCTAGATTTTACATGAATGCAGACAATTCAGGTAGAGATCCAATTTTTTGTTATTGTTGTATTGGAGTTTGAACTAAGGGCCTTGTGCTTGCTAGGCAAGCATTTTACCATTTGAGCCAAGTCCCCAGCCCTTTTTATAGGGATCCAGAACTTACTGGACGCCAAGCATGATGGTGCACACCTGTAATCCCAGCACTCAGGTAGCAGAGACAGGAAGATGTGAGTTCCTAGCCAGCCTGGGCTACATAGCAAGAATCAGTCTCAAAAAAATTTAAATAAATAAAATTGTCTGAACCATATAAAGAGAAAGAGTATGTGAGGAGGCCTGCCCATGCATGACACAAAAGGGCCAGGCATGGCACCCAGCCCCATGGGGCAACTGAGGTAGGAGGATCAGAAGTTCAAGATCAACATGGGCAACTTAGCAAGATCCTGTCTTCAAACAAAATAAAAAGGGCCCGGTGTTGGTGTCTCACAGCTGTAATCCTAGCTACTTGAGAGGCTGAGATTGGGAGGATCGAAGTTCTAGGCCAGCCCAAGCAAATAGTTTGCGAGACCCATCTCCAAAATAGCCTGAGCAAAATGGGCTAGAAGTTTGTGTAGCTCAAGTGGTAGACTGCCTGCTTTGCAAATGAGAAGTTCTGAGTTGAGTCCCATCAAAATAAATAAATAATAATAAATGAGAAGAGCTGGAGGTATAGCTCAGTGGTAGAGTGCTTGCTTAACATGTGTGAGGCCCTGGGTTCCATTCCCAGTACTACAAAACAAACAAACCAAACTATAAAGGAGGGGCTGATAGCTCAAATGGTAGAGCGTCTGCGTAGCAAGAGCAAGACCATGAGTGCAAGCCCCAGTACTGCCAAAAAAAAAGAAAACTGGGAATTCTGATTTTGTAGAAATTAAAAAATTTTGTATGACCCTAATCACCCTAAACAGAGTTAAAAAGAAAAATGATATTCAAGGAGAAAATATTTTTCACACATAGAAGCAGAGACTAATAGAATATTTAAAAACTTTCGTAAATCACTAAAGTAGGCAATGAACAGATAAAGAGAAAGAAATTTAAATGACAGCTATCCAAAACTGCCAGCCCTGCCATTAGTCAGAGAAATGCTGTTAAAAATTAGGTCTCATTTTCTGGCCAATTGTGGCACCAAGTGGAGGCGAATTCCTCTAGGGAACATGTGGGCACCACCACTCTTGGAAGGGGTGCTGCAGGGCCCACACATACCTTCATACCTTGGTCCATCTCCCCTGCCTGTCCAGGAGCAGATCTCATACATGGATGGGCACAGGGGCTAGGATGGCTGTGTGCTGTTCATGTGGCAGTGTGGCACTTGGAGCCCTAGAGCCTAGGCTAGAGTCCTGGTGCCCCTAGCTGGGAAGCCACTACTTGCCGCTCCAGAAATGCTGGAGGTTGTGTGGGGAGTCTGCGTTACTTTGTACGATAATGGACTGTCTCCAAGTGTGCTCTTTAGAGAAACAAACTGTTACATGTGTAAAAACCAAACCCAAACAATAATTTGTGTATGTGCCCATAAATGCCCAAAAAGCAGAGGAAAGATCTAGAAAGATATCTAGGGCTTTAACCATTCCATTGGGAAGGACAGGAGGATGGGGGACAGGGCAGTCTTTTCTGTTCTCTTAATTTATGCTATGTCTTAATTTATATGTTGAGATCCCTTTCAGCTATTTCTGAAAATGTGGATTAAACAAGAGAATGTTGTCCTGCTGCCACTCACGTGCCCTCATTGTTCACAGGTATGGATCCTGGCGGGAACCGGTCAACCCCTACTATGTCAACTCTGGCTATGCCCTGGCACCAGCCACCAGTGCCAATGATAGTGAGCAGCAGAGCCTGTCCAGTGATGCTGACACCCTGTCCCTCACAGACAGCAGTGTGTAAGTCATGCCTTTTCTGGCCACATGCTTCAATGCTCTGTGCTGACTGCTGACTAGGTTTTGTCTTCTGGTTCCCTTAGAACTTGGCTTAAGTATACCTGAAGAACAGACAGGCTGCTGTGAGCAGTGTCCTTCAAAACCCAGCCCAAGGCTCAGTGAGGCCCTGGGTTCAGCACCAAAACCACAAAAACAAAACAGGCAAACTCAATCTAAGCTAGAACTGAGGCATGAATTAATCTTTCTCTAAGGCCATCACTTCCTAGAGTTTTTGAGATAGGAGAACCCAGAGGTGAAAGCTGTGACAGACCCTAGAGCCACCCTGTGGGAGGTTCCAGCTGCCTCACCAGTTTGGCAGGGCAAGTGATGCAGTCCCTGGAAGGTCTCATGGCTGCACAGATGTGCTATTCTGTGTGTGCCCTTCTTATAGAATCTTGTCATGTCAGGTGAGCAGTCCCTGATATCTAAGTAGCTTCTTTGTGCTGAGTGCAGTTCCCCATGGCTCAGTGATGGCCTGGGACATGCAGCCTGGTGATAGAGCTTCAGAGTCATAGCTGAGCCTATGACTGTCTCCTGCTGTCATAGAGACAGTTATGAGCTCGTTCTTGCATTTTCACACTCTCAGGAACCCCCTTGTGGAACAGCCTGTCCCTTCCCTGCCCTTTGACCTGCTTCCTGCACCTCAGCAGGTGGCTTCTGAAACCCAGCGCACATTAGGTATTGAATGGTGCAAACACTTGTTGCATTGGCTGACCACCCTGCTGGGGTTGTTTGGGGACTTGGCTTGGTCACTCATGAGTCCTAGATGTGCCCAGGCAGGTCTGTTCTGGCCCTAAATGCACCCTTTATTCTGTTCACTGTTTGCCATTTGAGTACCAAGGAGAGCCAGGGCAGGGCTGAGCCCCAGGTATGCCTGGTCCTCGTCTGGCCACATCAGAGCATTTGAGGGAGCCTCTGGCCACAAGTGGCAAGCAGGAGGAAGCCTATCAACTGCCACCTCCTGTCTATTCCTGACCTCACAGGGGCCTGGATAGGACTCCCACCAAGCTCAGTGCTTGTCGTCTAGTTGTGGGTACTTACTCCCTGCTAGCTTGTCTTTGTTTTTGAAATAGGCTCTTGAAACTTTGCGTGACCTGGAATTGATCCTCTTGTCTCCCTAATAGCTGGGATTATAGGCTTGTACCACCATTCCCAGCTGCGAATTGTGTTTTTAAAGGGTGGTCCCACTTTATGTACCATTTTTATTATAGTTTGCTCTTTTCATCTGCCTGCCTTTAAACATTCTTCTGACACTGACTGTCAGATGTACCAAGCAGGCCATCACATGCAGCTCTGGGCTCAGGTTAGACAGCCACATGTGACACATCTTGGGCTATTTTGTTTTTTTTCACTATGATAATGGGTGGTTGCTGACACCATGGGTGGATGGCTCCCCCTTTGGATTCAGTTCTGTGTGCGGCACTTGTTTCTTTCAGTCTCCTTTCATTTTGAATCTTCATGTAGAGTGTTGGCATTTGGGCAACATCTTTTTTTGCAATTACTGGAGTTCCATGTGGCACCTCTCAGGTGCAGACCAGTGGCAGCAAGGTTGTGCGTCTGCAGTTCCTGGTTTTCCTTGTCCCTGGAACTGTGTCCCTTGATGAAAATTATCCTCCAATGTAATTTTGTCCAAGAAAAGGGCATATGTTTCCCAAAGGGAGGACCTAAAATAAAGACATTTTTTTTCTCAAATACCCTGTTCATCTGGGTTTGAACAGAGAGCCTTAAGAATCTGGAGCTGTAAAGTTGCTGCACACATTTGAACATAAGCCATGGGGAGGAAGCGGAGTGGTGCATTTCATCGTTTCTGCTGGGGTAGCTCTCAGGCTTCTCATGGGGCCCCGTGGGTTCATGCTCAGTGGCTCAGCAAGGTGCTTCCTGGAGTGCTGACCTTGAATGTGGAGGATGCTGATGATGTGCTTAAGTCACAGAGGCTGGGGAGCTTCAAAGTGCTCCATCTGAATATAGAAGAAACAGGTGTGAGTAGGTCTTCAAGATACCTAAGCTTACCCTGGGCTTGTGTAAGACATGTCATGTGAGTTTTAAATTCCTGTTCCTTGCCACCTGTCCTCTGTTGAGCCCTAACCGCCTGGAGGCCCTGCTGCTTCCCTCAGCTCCAGCTGGTGGTCTGACCCTTACTGAGGCCACTCCTGCTGACAAGTAAGAGCAGCATTGTTGGGGCTCCCCAGCCCAGCCCCTCAGTGCCTCTCCCTGAGAGGGCCAGGATGCACAGATGCACAGACACATACCTTCTTAACTGCCCTCTAGAAGATGGAGACTGAGGCCTTTTAGTAGCCAGATGATTTAAAAACTTCCCACCTAGTGAGGAAGTCACAGGCCCACCCCCATCCCCATGTAATCAGAGAGCTGCAGTGAGAGAGACACAGAGCTGAGACCTATCATCCTCCATTTCCTAGGGCTCTGGGGCATCTTCTTTTTTCTTTTTTTGGGGGGCAGGGGAGGCATCTTTTTGTCACTGGTCCCTGTTGCTGCTGTGCTTCCCAGAGCAGCTGTCATAACTGGAAAGAGGGTTGGGCAGTTTTCAGAGTGTTGAATTTGGCATCTGTGCTGAATGAGCAAGAGCGCTGCATTTAATGATCTTGGTCCTGGGGTATGTAAGTATCCAAAGACTGTTATGTATATGCTTGTCATGAGCTTCTGAAGGCTCTAACTTGAAGCCTGGATGTAAGAAGACTCACTCGGTCCAGGGACAGGTGCTGCTGGTTCACTCCTGTAATCCTAGCTACTTGGGAGGCTGAGATCAGGAGGATAGTGGTTTGAGGCCAGCCTAAACAAATAGTTTGAGAGACCCCATTTCCAAAATAACCAAAGCAAAAATGGACTGGAGGTACAGCTCAAGCAGTAGAGTGCCTGCTTTGCAAGCAGGAAGCCAAGTCTCTCTCTCTCTCTCTCTCTCTCTCTCTCTCTCTCTCTCTCTCTCACACACACACACACACACACACACACACACACACGCCAAAAAAAAAAAAAAAAGACTAACTTAGGCATCTCTTGGAGGTCTTGATGCTCTGCCAGCTTACTTGGAGAGAAGCAGAGTGGGAGAAGTAGAGAGGTTTCCTGGCTTCCAAGGATCTTGGTTCTCTTGCCACTCTTTTTGCTTCTATCTTGCACACCGTGTCCCTGGCCTTGGAATTAAAATGGGGTCACAGCAGACATTTCCATGACGGGCCAGCAATAAATACTTTAGTGTTGGCAGCCACATGCAGTCTCTCATGCATTCTACCCCACCCTACCCTTTAAACATGTAAAAACCATTCTTAGCTGTCAGACCTTCAAAAGCAGGCCTTGCACTGCAGTTGACTGACTTGGGGTTACATAACACTCGCACAGCTGAAAATGCTCAATAAATGCTAGCTAGAACATTCCAGGACTGATCTCCTGGGCTTTGCTGTCATGTATGAATTGTGTGCACGTGTGTGAGCATGCACATGCTGTCCTTTGTACGTGTGCATGTGTGGTGCTGCACCTTGGGTGTGGTCACCACCACCAGCTGATTGATGGTGGGCTGGAAACCATATGATACCCACTGGACCATGTTTCCTATTTGAGCTTACTGCCCCTTTTGTCTACACAGGGATGGAATCCCCCCATACAGGATACGTAAGCAGCACCGTAGGGAGGTGCAGGAGAGCATCCAGGTCAATGGGCGAGTGCCTCTACCTCACATTCCTGTAAGTACCACCTCATAGCCCCTCTTCATTCAGTCTCCCAGTGCCTGCCTGTTCCCCAACTTAGAGTTGGCCACTATGGTACCAACAAGTAGCTGAGACATAGCCTGCAATCTGAGTGATGCTTCAGTGGCAGAGTGGCAGGTGACAGGCCTCAGCAACCTAGTCTGTCTAGAAGAGCTCCACTGGGACACATAGTCACCAGCATGGTGGCAGAAAGTGTCTTCCATCTAGCTCCCTCCTTCGTGGTCTTCCCTTGTCACTGTGCAGCGAGATGCACCCCTGAAGGAGAACAGCTGTTAGTTAAGAGATTGTGGCTTGGAGCCCAGCCCCAGCCGATAAATGACTGCCTGAGCCTGTGGTACTGTCAGATAGCTGTATTGTGCTGCTCAAGGTGAAGCGCCAGGTACTGGCCTTTTGTTGCTGAGCAGTGGGCATGGCCACATGAACACTGTGGCTTGAATGCTGCCTCAGCTTTGTGTCTTGGGGAATGGCAGTGGCTCCTTCCTGGGACTTCATTGGTGGCAGGTCAGAATGGAGTATACACGGGGGTCCCTACTGAAGAGTCCTTTTGGTGATGAGCAGAGCAGTTAGTGTTCCTCATTCTGACACATAGCTTTGAGCAGAATGCCTTCTATGGAGAATTGGAGAGTTTGTGGTGGGTCTTCTCCCCATGGCTCTGATCTGGGGTGAGAATGTGGTGCTGTGGGGGAGGGAGGGTGCTTAGGAGCGTCACACACTCCTTTTTTGTTTGGCAGTACTGAGGTTTGAATTCAGGGCCTCATGCTTGCTAGGCAGGTGCTCTATCACTTGAGTCACTCCTCCAGCTCTCATCATCATTTCTTACTTGGAGTCTTTCAACTTTTTAGTAGAACCCTCAATTCCCAAATCAGGAAAGTGACATTTGTGGTTGAGAACAAAGGGTGCATGTTTATTCTTGACTCTAAGGAAAAGGATGGTCAAGCACATGTCACCTCCCAGCTATCCCTCAGCACAGATTTATCTTAACTAGGCACTAATGGTATCCACCTGTCAAAAAGTGGGGCATAGCTGGGCACTGGTGGCTCACTCCTGTAATCCTAGCTACTCAGGAAGCAGAGGTCAGGAGGATTGTGGTTCAAAGCCAGCCCGGGCAAATAGTCCACAAGACCTTATCTCAGAAATACCCAGCACAAAACAGGGCTGGCAGAGTGGCTTAAGTGGTAGAGTGCCTGCCTAACAATTTTAAGGCCCTGAATTCAAACCCAAATACCACAAAAAAAAAAAAAAAAAAGTGGGCTATAGGGCTGGAGGTGTGGCTGGAGTGGTAGAACACCTGCCTAGCAGGTGAGTAGCCTTGAGTTCAAATTGCATTACCACCGAAAAAAGAGCTGAGCGCCAGTGGCTCATGCCTGTAATCCTAGCTAGTTGGGGGGCAGAGATTGTTAAGTTCAAAATATTTAACGAAGCCAGGGTAAATGAGAAAGAAAACGAACCGACCTCAACAGACTGGATGGGCCTTTATTAACGCCAGAGAGGGGCACTAAATACACCTGGATGAATCCAGAAGTAAGTGGTAAAGCTCAATCCTTAAGTAGGGAGGGAGGAGGAAAAAAGGGCACTGGGTAGCTGGTTCCAGGAAGGGAAAACAGGTGTCTGGGTGGGTGAAATATGTCATGTTGCAAGTCGTGCAATGGTTCAGGGGAGAAGAGAAATTTTGAGGTAGCCTCAGGGCAGGGTTATTTGTTCAAGTCTTTTGTAACCTTCCAGAGATCAGGAGGATCGTGACAAATAGTTCTTGAGACCCTATCTCAAAAAAAATCAACACAACAAAGGACTGGCAGAGTGGCTCAAGTGGTAGTGCGCCTGCCTAGCAAGCATGAGGCCCAGAGTTTAAACCCCAGTTCTAAACACACACAAAAAAAAAAGAAGAAAAGAAAAGTGGGCTACACCTTGGGCCATTCACATGTATGGGGCATTCTGAGGCTGAGTGGAGCATTTACTACTGGACCAAGTTGGACAGTCAGCAGAAGCAGGAGGTCTAGGAGGCCAACTGTACAGGGCTCAGGCAGCCGGTGGGCCCCTGTTCGAGGAACACAGTGGTCTGTGACTGCTCTGCCTGACCCCTCTTGTGTGCACTGCACTCTTGTTTTTGTTGGGGTTCTTTGTCTTGTTTAGTAAGTGCCTGGGTCTGAGCACTAGCACATCAGGTTTTCTGAGCCTTTATGTGATTTTCTTGTCTCACCCTACACTGTTTTCTGAGACATTAAGTACTGGTTTTTTGTTTGTTTGTTTGTTTTTTGTTTTTTTTCTTTTTGTAGGTGAGATGTTGGGTTGCACCCAAAGTCAGGGCCCACCACTGGAAAAGCAGGAGTGGCAGAGCACAAGGTGGCAAGGTCCCCCACCCCCACCTATTTCCCACTTGTATCACCTCAGAGCAGACCTGTCTGCCATCAGGTCACCTCCCTTGTCTACCAGTACCCCCTTCCTGCTCCTGGGTCAGGAGGGAGCTGCTGTCCTTTCCAGCTTAGACCTTGGTGACTTAGAGTTTTAAGTATATTTTGCCACAAAGGACATTACTGGCAAAATTGGAGTAAGATGCACTGTTTGAAAACAGCACGGTCAGCCTTCTACTGTCCATAGTTCTATGGTTAGAGAACTAAACACCCTAGCTGGTTTAGAAAGGAGTGTGTACGTGTATGTATGTCCTTGTGAGCATAGTAGAGCAAATGTGGCAGAGGAGCGCACACACTGTGTGAGCAGTCTTGTGAGTGAGTGGGAGTGACTGCTACTATTTTTGCAATTGTTTACAAGTTTGAAATTATTTCAGAATAAAGCTTTTCCCCAAGGTCATTCCACATGTTGCTGTAAAATATATTGCAGATTTATATTCTTTTAAAAAAGAAAGCTCTCCAGAGTTCCAGAGTTTTTCCTGTACTTTTAATTTTATGTCTCCCACCCCTATAAGGGAGCCCCAAGTCCAAACTTCACCAAATCCAAATACCCTCCACCCCATACACATGGGTGAAATGGCATGGTTAGGACCATGTCCCGCCATGGTGTTTCCTGCCAAGAGGTGAAAACCTATCATGAAGCTTTGGGGCACTTGGTGTGGGATACCTCTGGTGAGGCCCTGGCTGCTATCTGGTTGGGAACATGGGCAAATGCTCAGCTTGAGTGCCTCAGCCTGTATTAAGAGGCCCTGACCTCCTCTGGCTCTGTCCCCAGATACTAAGTGCTTGGCCCTACAAGCCTCTATGTGTATAGTTGTGAGAGGCTGAAAAGAAACAGATCCACTTCTGGATCAGTGATGAATGGAAGGGATGAGAAGGTGATGAGAAAGCTGATGCCCAAGTGAAAGGAGAAGAGCAAGAGGAACAAACACCTAATTTAAAATAAGATAAGGTTCCCATGCTGCATCCTTTCACTGAGTGCTCTGTTCTCAGCAAATGATCCACCATGTGGTGGCAGCACCTGCTAACCATTGTGTCTTGCTGCAGCGCACTTACCGAATGCCAAAGGAGATTCGAGTGGAGCCACAGAAGTTTGCAGAGGAGCTCATCCATCGCCTAGAGGCTGTCCAGCGCACGCGGGAAGCTGAGGAGAAGCTGGAGGAGCGGCTGAAGCGTGTGCGGATGGTGAGTGGGCTGCACCCAAGGCCGTGTCCACACCACCTTGTTTCCTGTGTTTAGGGTGGCCACTGTCCTGAGGAGCCCTCCTCACCGTGCTTGGCACTGTGCCTCCTAATGCGGTGCCCCCTGCCCTTGATCCCTGGGTTCCCAGCCCTAGCCCTTTCCCTGCTCCTAAGCTCCAGTAACCATCCCAGCAGCCCCCTTTCCCACCTTTGGAAGCCAGGATGTGTCCTGTGGCCATCTCCCAAGAGGGGATTGCTGAGACTTTCAGGAGTTGAAGAAAATTGTGAAGCTAATGCAATCACCTGTGTGCCTTTCCCTTTGGGAGTGTCAGTAGCTAAACTGATTCATACTGTAGGCCATAGCAGGAACACCTGTGAGTTGCAAACTCCTCTCATGCACAGGGGCCACTACACCCAAGGTATGACCCAAATGCCATGAGTTCCGCTGCAGGTTCCATACTGGACCTTCCGCACCCTCAGAGTTAGCCTGGCTCACTGAGACACTGCACAGTCCTCAGATGTCAAGGCTTTTCTGTGCTAATTGTGGAATGGCCTCATTGCAGTGTGTCCCATGCTTTGGTAGGACATTTAAAGGCAGAGATGACTAGGTGTTTGTGTGCTTTTCTGATGTCTCAACCTTAGAACTCCCTCAACTCTGTGGAGTCCCAACTATGGCTAGATGGGGTGGCTCTGTCCCCAGCAGCAGGGAGGGCAGCGGATGTCGATGGTGTCCCCAGAGCTAGCACCACAGATCAGAAAGAGGGAGGCTAGCCCATTGCCAGAGCTGAGCAGAGCAGTGTTCTCTGACTTAATAGAAAATATTAAAATGAAAGCTCAATGTATTTTTCTCATATCAGCTTGGAAAATAATCTGTGGGCAGATGGTCTCCAGCTCAGGTGGGGTGCCACGTATACTGGTGGCCTCTGAATGTGGTACCCAGACCTTTTCTGGCTGCATCTGGGCTGTGCTTACCTCGTCTTGACTGCTGATTGTCTACTGCTGAACGGCTGGCAGTCTGACCACAGGCTGTCGAAGTGTATGATTCTGTAGTTTGTATGCATTATTACGTAGATTATAGGTTTTTTTCCTCAAAAGAATAACCTCATATTTTTAAAATAACTTACTTTCATTATTAGATTAGAAAGTAAAAACATAAAGAAGATAGTGAAAACCATTAGTTGAACAGTTAAGTTAACCAATACTGTTTCAAAACCGTACAGTTGGAACTGAGGGTATATATGGTTCAGTGGTAGAGTACTTGCTTAGCATGTGTGAGGCCCTGGGGTCCAAAAAATAAACAAATAAATGAATAAACCCTACAACTGACTTCCTACATGTGCAGAACTATTAAGAAGAGCTGGGTCTCTCAAGGTTGTCCTGTGGATTTGGAGGTAACCTGTTCCTTGGTCTAGCCTTAGGGATAGTGGCATCAAAACTTGCAGCATTTTTAGTCCAGAGAAAATCCTCTGCTAAGAACTGTCCCCGCATTCCCAAGCCCCATGGGCAGCTAGTGTCCAGTAGAGGTACCCTTGTCTGTCCCCTTGGCTCTTTCCCCACACAGCCTCTGCATCAACAAGTGAGCCTCAAGCCTATGCACCCCATGGGTCTGGTGCACTGGTTCTGATTGCATTTAGGTTCCTTTGGATTTATGATTAATTTGGTACTTAACGTTGAAAAAAATTTTTATGTTAAAATAGGCTATAGCCAAGCATCAGTGGCTCACGCCTTTGAACCTAGCTACTCAGGAAGCAGGTATCAGGAGAACTGCAGTTCGAAGCCAGCCTGGGCAAACTGTAGTTTGGGACTCGCCTCCACCTTTGTAGTTGTGCCAAATTCACTCAGTTTAATAAGATGAGAAAAAATGTGAAATGTGAGGTATGATTCATTATCTGTTAACTCTTGATTAATTGAATGAAATTCCCCTAGCTTATTAATGTGAGAATTTATCAAGACGTATATATGCAAGATATGTAAAAATCAAGAAATTCTTTATAGGGGCTGCATTCTCTTTGACAGTATCATGTAAAATATATATGGGTAGTAAAATGAAGGAATAGAAAGATTCATTTGAAAGAGAACAGTAATATTTATTGAGAAACAAAGGAAAACTAAATTCGCGCAAAGCTTTTTCAGTGGCTACCACTAACACTGAGTCCCAAGTCCCCTCTTTGCCCTCAGCCACAGCCCAACCTAATGGGAACTCAGTCAGCAGGGTCAGAGGAGACTCCTAGGGCACTCAGAATCAAGCACTCAGCATCTGGGAGTCAGGTGCCTTTTGTGATCTGGCCGCATTTTGAGCAGGGGCGCCTCTGTCCTGACCTCCTGAACCAGGCACATTGCTCTGCCAGTCTTCATTCTTGTGTTTTCGCGAGTGGGAGATATGTATGTGGGGCTGGTTATGACAATACTTCCCTGTCTCCACAGGAGGAAGAAGGCGAGGATGGTGACCTGCCTTCTGGCCCACTGGGGGCGAGTCACAAGATGCCTTCTGCCCCAGCCTGGCACCACTTCCCACCCCGCTATGTGGACATGGGCTGTGCTGGGCTGCGGGATGCCCATGAGGAGAACCCTGAGAGCATCCTGGATGAGCATGTGCAGCGAGTCATGAGGACGCCTGGCTGCCAGTCACCTGGGCCAGGCCACCGCTCTCCTGACAGTGGGCATGTGGCCAAGATGGCCGTGCTGGGGGGTATGGCCTCAGGGCATGGGAAGCATGTGCCCAAGTCTGGGGTGAAGCTGGATTCAGCTGGCCTGCACCACCATAGGCACGTCCACCACCATGTTCACCACAGCGCAGCTAGGCCCAAGGACCAGGTGGAGGCCGAGGCCACCCGCAGAGTCCAGGGCAGCTTTGCATGGGGCCCGGAGTCACACAGCCACACTAAGCCTCGCAGCTACTCAGACAGCACGGGTGCCACCCCCAGTGCTGGGGACCTGGCCTTTGGGTGAGTTTTGTGCCAACCCAACCTTGTACAGTAAGAGTAATGGTGTCTTTGTATCTGAGCTTTGGTCATGAACGTGTTTTAGAGAAAGACCAGCATACAAGACCATGTCCCTGTGGAGTAAAAGTTGCAGGAAAAGCCGGGCACTAGTGGCTCATGCCTGTAATCCTAGCTACTAAGGAGGATCGCAGTTTAAGGCCAGCCCGTGCAAATAATTCGAGACACCCTTTCTCAAATACCCACACAAAAAAGGACTGGTGGAGTGGCTCACATGGTAGAGCACCTACCTAGCAAGCATGAGGCATGAGTTCAAACCCCAGCACCTCCCAAAAAAACATCTCAGAACGGGAGCAGGAGGAGGGCCCAGCCATGGCCCAGTCTGGGTGGAATGGGGCCAGCTGAGCCCTGATGTGGGAGGTTAAGGTCAGGGCCTTTGAGCTCCTTTCACTAACTCTTTCTGAAGTGTTTGTCTGTGTGGGTTTGTCTTGTGCTGTAATCAGCACAGCTCTCCCAGTTTGTCAAAGACAACACAAACCCCTGATGGCAGACATTCACAGAGGTCTCCACAGTAGGGTGCAGGCCCTTCCATTGGGGCTTGAGGGCTCAGGAGGCAGCGTGGAATGCCAGGGTGACTTTCCAGGCCGTACTGTTATAGGGGGAAGGCAGGTATGCCCTCCAAAAGAAATACCAAGAAAGCCGACTCTGGGAAGAACACCAGTGCCGAGGTACCAGGCACTGCAGAGGACGCTGAGAAGAACCAGAAGATCATGCAGTGGATCATTGAGGGGGAGAAGGAGATCAGTAGGCACCGAAAGACTGGCCATGGGTGAGTACACAGCCCAGAACCTGCCCTGCTCAGGTGGGTTCCTCCCACCACAGCCTGCCATCCCCCACCCCAGAGCACCTGGTGGCCCTGGTCTCAGAGGGGGAGGGCCCTTGTTCTCTTGCCTCCAATACCACTGCTCTCTGGAGATTATTTCTGGCTTCTGGGTCACACATCACGTGAGAGTTCTTGTCACCTGGGAAGTTACATAAGCGAGCCGCCGTGGGAGAGCCTTCTGCCCTCACACCTGCTCATCCCCAGTCCTGAGGGGCAGAGGCTTTTCTGGGTGTATAGAGCAAGGGCTCAGGGCCAGTCCCACACAGAGTGGCTCTACGGATGTCATCTTACCTGTCTTGACCCCTGTCCGTCTGTGCCTATACTTGGTCCCGGTGCAACAGAGGAAGTGCCACCCCTGTGTTATTCTTGGGTGACCAGAAGCAGGTATACTACCTCAGTCCCAAATTCTCCTGGTGTGCCACATGCACCCCATACTTTGCCCTCCACATGCTGGAGGTGAGAGTGGTGTCTGTCTGTGGGAAGGGAGAGCAATAGAGGCATCTCGGCAACACCACCCTGTCTTTTTATAGCCACAAAGCCTCTCCTTGGGAGACCCTGTAGGAGGCTTCCATCTAAGCCCTGGTTGAAGTGAGGAGGGAGCTCTTGACTTCTGAATTTGTCTCTTCTAGGTTTTCTTTTTTCTTCTATTTTCTTTTTTTGAGATGGGGCTATGTAGCCCAGGCTGGCCTTGAACTCTTTATGCTGGGATTAGAAAGGCATGTGCTACCACACCAGCTTTTTTTATAAGGAATGGACTCTATTCCAATTGTTCCATGTGAACCTGGGGTTTCTAGTGGTTGAAAAAGGAATGTACACACACAGTCTGGGTAGGGTGCCGCTTGTAGGTGGGCATTCCAGATGAGGGTCCAAGGACTTTGTGCTGCTGTCCTGCCGGGGCTTTAAATAAACATCAAACACCAATAAGGAATAGTCTCCCCAGGCCTAGTGGCTCATGCCTTTAATCCTAGCTACTTGAGAAGCTGAGATTGGGAGGATTGCAGTTCAAGGGCAGCCCAAGCAAATACTTCTCAAGGCCAAAGTAACCAGAGCAAAATGGACTGGAGGTGGGACTCAAGTGGTAAAGTGCTTGCTTTGCAAGTGTAAAGCCCTGAGTTCAAACATCATGCCCAGCAAAAAACACAGCAAAACACTGGCTTGTCTTCTGGGCTCCCTGTCTCTGTTTTGGGGCTGTGCCTGTCTTAGGGTGCTGAGCCTCCACCATGGCCAGGAGGCTGGGATCTCCACTGGGCTCCATTCAGGTGTTGAGTGATAGGATACTACAGATGGAAAACATATTCCCAGGGTTTATAACCAGGGAAAGACTGTGAAATAATGTTAAGTTGTACAAAGCAGAGACAGTTACATGGTTTTTTTTTTTTTTCCCTATTTTCTGACAGTTTTGTTAAATATTTGTAATGGAAGGGAATATATCAATATACCAAGACTGGTTATTTCTAAATTATGATACTGTGGACTATGTGTATTTTTCTTTAAATTTCCTGTACGTGCCAGGTTCTCCACCATGAACATACACTTTAATTTTGTTTGTTTTTTTTTTTCTCCATGCTGAGAGGATAGAACCCAGAACTTGTTAGGCAAGCACTCTACCATTTAAGAACATCCCCAACCCCAAAATTTTTTAAAAAACAGTAAAAATGGTAACTTTAGAAAAAGTCTGAAACTGGAGGCATGGCTCATGAAACCGCTAGTTCAAATCCCAGTACCACCAAAAAAAAGAAAGGAAAAGAAAAAGTTTGTATATAGTATATACAGTTTATATTTCAGCAAAGCTGCAAAAAATAAACTACAGAAAAAGAAACCTGCACTTGGGCACGATGTCACATGCTTGTAATCCCAGCACTTGGGAGGCCAGCCTGAGCAACTTAATAAAATATTAGGAAAGGGCTGAGGATGTAGTTCAGTGGTAGAGTACTTGCCTAGCATGCTCAAGGTCCTTATTAGAGCCCCCAGTAACACAGAAAAAAAAAATCTGTAAGAAAGGAAGAGACAAAACTGAGTGGCCGTGGCTCATGCCTGTAATCCTAGCTATGCAAAAGGCAGGGATCAGGAGGATCGTGGTTCAAAGCCAGCCCGGGCAAACAGTTTACAAGACCCTGTCTTGGAAAAACCTATCACTAAAAAGGGCTGACAGAGTGGCTCAAGCAGTAAGAGTGCCTGCCTAGCAAGTGAGGCCCTGAGTTCAAACCCCAGTGTTGCAAAAAAAAAAAGGAAAAGACATGTCTGTGTGAGGTCTGAGGAGGCTTACGTGACTTCATGGTTGGAAATGGACACACCTGGCTTCTCACATTGCTCAGGCTTTGTTCTTGCTCCCCAAGGTCTTCTGGGATGAGGAAGCAGCAGGCCCATGAGAGCTCCAGACCCTTGTCTATTGAGCGTCCTGGAGCTGTGCACCCTTGGGTTAGCGCACAGCTCCGGAACTCTGTTCAGCCCTCTCACCTCTTCATTCAAGACCCCACGATGCCCCCCAACCCAGCACCCAACCCCCTGACACAGCTGGAAGAAGCCCGCAGGCGTCTGGAGGAGGAGGAGAAGAGAGCCAGCAAGCTGCCCTCCAAGCAGAGGTAGGACCACAGCACAAGGTGACCTCAGAATGGGCCCAAGGCTGGAGAACTACAGAGGGTCCCTTCCACTAATAATCAGAGTGAGGTGGCCCTGGATAGGGCCTGGGACAGTTAATGTCCTCACTGCCCTTCTTGGAGGAGGAGGAGGAGGAGGGAATCATTTGTACAGCTCATGGCTGGGCTTGTACAGGAGGCTGTGTAGTCCCAGCATGGAAGGGATGGGATAGCCAAGCATGTGATCAGATGACCAACAGGTACTAGCAGTCTAGGCTCAGTGGCGAGTGTTCTGGGGCATCCTGGCCCCTTAGTTGACAGCCACAGCAGCATAATAGCCCTGAAGTGTGCACAGATGTAGAACTTCTCTGGAGACTCAAGCCCCCAGCCTTCCTCCCTCTGTCCTCCTTAGCCAAACTCTGTTCTGTTCCCTAGGGAAGCATATTCTGCCCCCTTTTAGATGGCAGCATTTTCTCCCCAGGACAGAATATGGCTTCTCTGGCTTTGAGGCCAGTTTCCTGGATGTTCTGGCTAACTGAAATTACGGATGGATCGAGGTCTTGGCAAGGGTCCTAGAAATGAAGACCCAGTCCCTGGGACCATGGTCACACAAGGGCCACTGTTCCCCTCAGAAGTCACTGGCTCCTCTCATCCAGCTTAATCATGTAGGAACTGGAGTTCAAACCCACTTTTCCAGGTCATTGCTGTTCATGAGTCCAGGGCCTGTGTCTGACAGACTGTGTTGCCCTGGTCTGTATCAGTGTTGGTATGGATCCCTTCTGAAGGTACACATGCCTCAGGAAGCCTGCATGTGTCCTTTGGTCATTGAAGGTCTTCATGGATCCATACCTGGCTCTGAGTCTGCAGCAGCTGTGGGGCTCAGAATGGGTCACAGCTAATTTGAACCTAAGGGACCACTTTGTCACTGGCCGTGACACCCTGTGCTCTTCTTTTGCCTGCTCAGTGCAGGAAACATCTCCTGTGCTGAGATACTGCGTGTGCTTGGTGAGGTCTGGGACCTGGTGGGGTCTGGGACCTGGCAGGGCATCATGTGAGCCTGGAAAGGGTTGTGCCCTCTCTTCCTGCTGGCACCCAGCAGTCCTCACATAATGACAGGTGCAGTTTTCTCCTTCTGGCCAGTGGCACCAACCGAGCCGCAAGAACATTCTGGGCCTGTGTTTTGGGGGCCTGGTCTGCTATGAGGTTGCAGCTGGTGCCTGTAGCATCTGCATGTGTGGGAAATCCAGAGTTGTTGTCTGTCCAGGGACCGGGAGCTTTTGTGAGCAACTGCAGGCTCCTGGGGCAGAGATCCCACCCTCCCACACCAGACAGTGGTGTGCTGGGCCCTGAGACTTTAGGTCCTGCCCAGGCAGGTCAGAGTAAAAGCCAAGTCAGTCACCCCAGCAGTGTATATGGACAGGGTTCACATGGGTAGGCCTCAGTTGCATTATATGGGTCCCCAAGGGACAGACAGAGCTGTTGCCATATCATCCTCAGAAAGTTCATACCAGAGAACTGCATAGGAAGAGCCACACCTCAGTGAGGCAGCCACAGACAGGGTCTTTCCAGAAGTCTCTGCAATGTGGAGAAATCACAGCAGAGAGATGAACAGACAGCTTCTGGCACCCAGATCAGCAGTTCCCCAGTGTGTTCCAGGGAACCCAGATAACAAAGGTGGGTCCTCTGGACTGGGCTACATCTGTTGTCAGGCCTCCTGACTCCACAAGGACTAGATGTCTTGCCCTCCTCACACGAGTATGAACCCTTAATGGGTGGGTCCTACAGCCCCTGCTCGTGTTCCCATTGATCAGTGTCCCACAGCGCTGGCTACAGCCCCCTCCCCATTGACGTGGGTTGTTCCCTAGGTATGTGCAGGCGGTCATGCAGCGGGGACGCGCCTGTGTCAGGCCAGCGTGCACGCCGGTGCTGAGCGTGGTGCCAGCCGTGTCGGACTTGGAGCTCTCCGAGACAGAGTACGTGCGCCCCAAGGGTCCTCCTGGTACCGCCAACCTGGCCCAGCCCCAAGCCAAGTTCCAAGGTGTAGCAACTGCCCTGGGATGTGAGCTCTGGCACTGTGCCTGGAGGCACTGGGACTGGAAAAGTCCTGCTGGGTCTGGGCCTCTCTCCTGTCCCATCAGAAGAGATACTGACCAGTGTGATGACATGTGACCCACAGACCTGAGTGGCAGTGCACACAAGCATCACAGCTTGCCCTTTATCCTGCCACTGCCCTCTTGAGCTTTCCAGCCAGGCCTAGGACTCTCAAGGGTCCACAGTCCTGCATAGGGTCAGCTGTTGTTTGGTCCCCTTGAAGTGGCACCAGAGCCTTAGATACTCTGACCTCCAACAGGTTTTGGACAGTGCAACTACTTGGACATACATGGGTAGTGTGGACACTGCTGACCACTCTTCCTGTGCTTCTAAGGCAGGAGGATTGGGTCCCCCAGAGCCCCTTAGGTCTTGCTGAACTGACCCAGAGCAAACTCTGTGAGCAGGGTGCTGTGTGATCAGGGCCTCTGCTCCACAGTGCTCCTCAAACTACCTCCCTGTGTGCTAGAGAAGCAGACCCCAGGTCAGCACATCTCTGACAGTCTCCAGTGGGCTCCCAGGACCCAGTGCTTGGGGACAGTCCAAGGAAGCAGGTGCATAGAAGCCTGGTGTGTGAGGTGGATCGTCATCCACCAAGGTGGTCCACTTAGCTGGGCCAAGGAAGAGATGTCCTCACACAAGGCTTTCCTGCTGTGAGGAATGTTCTGGAAACTTCCAGTGTGCTCAAGGGTCAGATCCTGCTTGGCCTGGGGCAGCTTCTGGTTTGGTCAGAGGATTTGGGAGCACAGGGGACACAGCCTGTCATCCAGATGCACAGCCACCACAGCACTTTGAGGACCTGGGCAGGAAGCAGCTCTGGCCTTACACCTGCTCTGGAGAGCCAGCTGGCCTGGCCTGTGGAGCATTCACTTTAGCTCTGCACGCACTTCTAATGAGACTGACCAGGGTACAGGTAGGCAGATGGCCCACACTGCCACCGTGGAGGTAGGGCTGCATAGGCTCAGTTGCCTGACCTGGCTATTGTGAGAAACTGCGCTTCCTCTTCGTGTGGTCAGGTGGGGAGTGCCCCCGCCCACCCCGCCAGCCAGACCCAAGGTCATGTTTACGGATGAGCATTCATGCAGGGTCTCCAGGGCCACATGGATGGGTGGCAGGGCCTGTGGACAGACACTATGTTGCTGAGTGAGGTGCTCACTCTGGGGCTTCCCTGTCCTCTGGTGGCAACCAGGGGAAGAGGAGCACTTCTTAATACCATGGTCTGAGCACAGTGTCTACCTCTGTCTCTGCCCCAGGACAAAGTCACAGAAGAAGGCAGGTGGCGGGAGCATCCAGCAGTGTGACAGCATTGTTGTGGCCTACTACTTCTGTGGGGAGCCCATTCCATACCGGACCCTGGTTAGGGGCCGTGCAGTCACCTTGGGCCAGTTCAAGGAGCTGCTGACCAAGAAGGGGAGCTACAGGTGAGAGGAAGGGCTGGAATTCTGGGGCCTCAGAAGTGCCTCTGCAAGGGACACTGTTGGCCAGTGTGGAAGGGAGACTGTTTGCCCTGTTTCCTACTTCATTTAGGCCCTACGTGCTGCCCTGTTTCCTACTTCATTTAGGCCCTACGTGCCTTTTTTTTTTTTTAAACTAAAGGTTTATTTTAGTATAGCAGATACATTTCTTCCCATGTAGGAAGATTCCAGTACTTGTCCTTAAGCCCACTTCTCCCAGCCTTGGGTGTTGCCTACTTCTCCATGCTGGGCACATGGGGAGCACACACTGTCAGGGCCTCATCGTAGAGCTAGGGAAACAGGCTCAAATAGGTCCACTTGCTGGTTTGACCTGGTTTGACCTGGGTTGGCCTTAGCTCCCACCTCACCTGAGCTGGGCCCATGAGGCTCCTGTAGCCCTATGGAGAGCACTAGATGTCCTAAGTGTGTCCTGATCTGATAGTCTGACAGAACCTACTGTGTTGAGCCCAGGGTGGGTTCAGAGTGGTTTCCTCTGTCCATGTACTCACCACAAAACTGCCCCTGAGTATACTGGTTGCTGGAGGAGAGCCAGGGCTAGGCACCGTGGCCTCTGCTTAGCCCAAGTCCATCGCCACCCACTCCTTCCTGCAACACCAGAGGCCAGGGCCATGGTAAGGGTTTCAGGGTTGTGCAGCACTGTAAACTCCTGACTCCAAGATGAGTCTGGGTTCACCCCATAGGTGGCAACCACACTTGATCACTGTAGCCCCATCTAGGAAACAGACGCCAGGCAGAACCAAGCTCTCAGGCCGTGGGAATGTCCATGTAGAACCTCCAGGGTGACAGAGGCAGGTAGCCCTCTGGAGCTGGCTCCCCTTGACAACCTCTGGGTTTTTCTATTTCTAGATACTACTTCAAGAAAGTGAGTGATGAGTTTGACTGCGGTGTGGTATTTGAGGAAGTGCGCGAGGACGAGGCTGTCCTGCCCGTCTTTGAGGAGAAAATCATCGGCAAGGTGGAGAAGGTGGACTGAGTGGGAGGTGCCATGCCCAGGGTCCACCATTTCAGTGCACAGCCATCACAGCCAAGTGGACGGCCTTGTACTCAGGAGCCTGGTGTGAAGGGACAACACAGGACTGTGTGTCACATCTGCACAGACACGGGTCCTGGGGAAGGCCCAGGTGTGCTGCATGCACCTCAGTCTCTCTGGGTGTGGACAGAGTGGGTCCCTCTGAGTGGTCCCACAGGCTTCTCATTGAAGAGGGAGCGCCACCCACCCCACAGAAGTACTCAGAGCTTCCCACTCAGCAGAGCAGCCCACCAGGAACCGCCCTCATGACTTCTAGCGGCCCCTGCTACTGAATGCAGGGCTGACCCACGGACACCTCACCCTGGGTTCACATACCAAGTTCTCTTCTCCCTCTGCAACTCACTCTCTATACCTGGTTGGGCCCGGGCCTGGGTGCAGAGGGCCCTGTGGCGGCCTCTGTAAATTGTACATGTCACCGAGTGCCTTCAACACAGCTGTCTCTTGCCTGCCACTGTGTGAATTTGGCGAGGGAGTGCCGCCAGCCCTCCTCTGCCTTTCTCCAGCAGGTTGGCCCATCCCTCCTTTGTAAGAGCCCATGTAAATATGTACATTTCTCAGGCTAGGGCCAGCAGGGGGCTGCCCTGAGTCCATTTTTCATGCAATGACTTGTACAATTATCTTTTCAAAGGTACTTGGATAATGAAATAAAAGAGTTTTTGAACCTGATTTGGCTATGGGATACACCTGTATGTGGCTGGTGAGGCCTAGCTTTCATCGAGTCTAGCAGTCACGGAGTCACACTGGCCCACCAAGGACCTGTGTATTGTGTAGATGAGGGCCCACAGAGAGGGCAGTCTGAGCTGCACCGCCCATGTGCTCCCCTGTCTACCCAGGTGGGCCCCACACCCAGACAGCCAGGGGAGCCCACTTAGGGCCTGGGCCCCATCCAAGAAGGAACAGACCCCAGAAGGCTGAGACTGGGCCAAAAGACCAGGTGCCAGGCTGCTCAGACCAACAGTTAGGGTTGCTCAGAACCACACAGAGTGTAGGACACAGTCTTTATTCACAGCACACAGCTCTCTCCAGCATCAGGGAGACCGACTATGCCTGATGTGGGGCAGCTACAGCTCCTCCTTGGGCGCCACAGTGGAGTTGGCCAGTGGCTCCTAGACAGGGTTACAGATGCCCAGTTCAGAGCCCTGCCCTTGGCCCTCCCCTGCCCGCCCTGCCTGGAGAGGACCTATCCGCATGCTAGGAGGTGGTCATCCTTGAGTCTAGTAACCCCAAAACGGAGCACCCACCAGGAAGGGGGCCTCAGGCTCCTCCTCAGGCTCCTCTTCAGGCTCCTCCTCAGGCAGCTCACCCCCACTATCCAGGAACTTGGAAAAGGTCTCCAGGTCCCTGGTGCTTCTGTATTCAATCACCTGAGGAGGAACAGCAGGGCCTGAGGTCATGCCCTGTCTACAGCCTGAACAGAGCACCATCTGCTGTCTCCCTAGCCCACCCCCCTTACCTTCCGATCAGGCCCCGCAGGGAAGAACTTGAGGGTGGGGAAACCATGTATTGTGAAGGCCTCCAGCTCGTTGACTGTGGCATCCAGCTCAGCGATGGTTATGTCCTCATGGTCCTTGTACCTCTCAGCCAGCGCTTCCCAGGCTGGAGCCATCTCCTTGCAGTGACTGCACCATGGGGCATCTGGGGAGGGATCGGTGTCAGGTCCGGCCAGCTGGGACCTCCCCGCTCTCAGCCCCCAGCCACCTACCTACCACCCTCAGCACTCACAGAATTTGACAAACACATTCTTATTCTCATCAAAAGCCACCTGCTCAAAATTCTTGGCCACGAGTGTCTTGACCGGCCGCTGGTCCCAGTCAGGGGGCAATTCCTGGCTCAGGAGGTAGGGCTTGGGGGAGCAACAAGAGCTCTGTGGCGTCAGCGTCCTAGGGCAGTTGCTCCCACCTCCCTCCCTCTACCCTGGAGGTGGACACTGAAGCAACAGACCTTGACTTCACCGTGGAGGACCGCATGGCAGAAGGCAGCCACAGAAGCTGCAGTGACAGGCCCCTCGCCTGCTGGCGCATACTTCTTGGTGGTCTCAACATTGATCAAGCGTAGGGTGGGGGCCTCATCAGCCTCGAGGCCAAAGTACTGCAGCACGTGGTCATTGTCAGCAGCCACGTCCACCACCACAAACAGTACCTGCCCCCGGAATGGGGGAGCAGCCTCCCTGAAGCCTGCCAAGAGCTCCCGATGGGAGGCCAGTGTCTGGTTCACAAATAGCAGCAGGTGGTTGAGGATCCTGGCGGCGAAGATCTTGGGAGATGTCTGCAGGAGTGGGGTGCTTGTGACTCCCAAAGGCCCCAACCCTAGAGCCCCCGGCCTGTACCTGCAGTCCCACTCACCTGTCTGTTGAACTCTGTAACCAGGTGCATGCTGTGGGTGACGAGGAAGCGAGACAGATCCCCCAGGTCCAGGCCGAGATCTTCGTCTACCGGAAAGTCGGCCCGCCCCTCGTCGAACTAGACACCAGGACGGTCAGCAGGAGGCACAGCCCTGATCCCAGCTCCCACCTCACCTGCCACCTACCTTCTTGAAAAGGACCACAGTGTCCTTGGTGATGCCAAACTTCTGAAAGAGCTGCGACTGGTCAGTGAGGCCAAAGGTCATGTCCAGAACTTCACGGGCCAAGGCCAGGAAAGTGAGCACATCCTCGTCCTGCAGGTCCTAGGGGCCCAGCCCTGTGAGGCTAGAGTATGCCACCAGCGCTGCCCCACTCCTCACCCCGCATCCAGCTTACCTGAAAGAAGCCAATGACCACCACATCCCCGGCATCCATCAGTGCCTGGACGCCCTCCTCGTCCTCCAGCCGTGTGGCGCTGGGCCCCACCCGCCTCCTCAGCCACTCAACGATGCCCTCGGCCTTCTGAGGCCCTGTGGAGAGCCTGCTCAGCCCAGGCCCGACCCTGGTCCCACCACCCAGGCCACGCTCGCTCCACACCTGTGTACTCCTCCGGGTTCGTGCGGCTCCCATCACGGAAGAATTTGAGTGTGGGGTACTGTGTCACATCAAACTCTTCGGTCAGCTCTGGCTCTGCAGGCCCGTCCACCTTGGCCAGCGTGACTGCGGCCGACTCGGCTGCTAGCAAGGCAGCTGCCTTGCTGTACTCAGGGGCCAGTGCCTGGCAGTGGCCACACCACGGGGCGTCTGGGGAACGAGGCTGTGAGTGCACAAGGCCTCTACAGATCCAGTGGCAGCCCCTCCCTTCCCAGTAGGAAGCAAGAGTGTTCTCTTCACACCCTGTTTCAGGGGTCCACCCTGGGTCTTGGCCACAAGCCAGACAACACAGAGACTCTCAAGGACCCTGGGCTCAGGTTGCAGGCACAGCAAGGTTTGGGAGAATTTGACAAGAATCCTGCTTCAGGGTGCAAAGCCACTTGAGGCTGGCCAGCCAGGAATGGTTTTAACATTTGAAAAGGGTTGTAAGAAGCCACAGAAGCATATGCCACAGGTACCACAGCCTGGACACTGAAGACTTTGTCACCAGCCACTTGGAGAAGTGACCTCCAAAGCAGTGACATCAGTGTGCAGCTACAGCTCGCAGAGGAGGGTGTGGTTGTCCTCGTGTCCCCTGGGTGTCTCCAGGCCCGATGTCTACTCAGGCTGGAGCCCCTGCCCGGCCTAGCTCAGCCCCAGGGCTCCCTGTTCAGGACCCGTCAAAGGGAGCCTGGGATTCAGGCAGCAGAATGGCAGCAGGGAAGATCCCCGAGATGAGGGGGCAGGGACTTGAGCCCCTGGATGTTTCATATGGTCCCCAAACCCTGTAGCCCAAGCACTCACAGAACTCCACCAGCAGGGCTGCGTGCTCCTGCAGGGCCAAGCTGAGGGTGTGGTGGCTCAGGACCAAGACCCCATCCTCCTTGGGAACTTCCTCTCCAGGGAGCTCCTCAGAAAGCTCCCCCGAGGGGCCCTCAGGTTCCTGTCCCTGTGGGCCTGAGGCCCCCAGCAGGAGCAGCAGCAGCAGCACAGGCAGGAGCTGGTCGTTCATGGCGGTGCTGGGTCCTGAAGGCTGGGGCAGATAAGGGGACTGGGGACCAAGCAGCAACAGCCACGTGGCACGTGGCACCTGGCTGGGTCTCAGGGAAGATAAAGCCCGAGAGGCGCCCCCTCGCTCAGGGGCGGAGGGAGGCAGAAAGAGGCAACACGAGGACGGAGAGACAGGGTGATATTTAATGGGACTGTCAGGGTGCCAGGCGAGAGGGCAGGACAGAGCAGGTGGGGGTCTGGTCACTGGCTGGGGGTCTGGGGAATGCTTGGGAGTCCCTGTGCAGCAACTGACAGAGGTGGGGGACATGGGCCCCAAGCGGGCTTCAGTCCTTCCAGTCCTGGCCGACGTGGAGGCCCCACTCCCAGGACAGGTGGTCCGTCCTGTCATCATCAGTGAAGAGGGACCTGACGACATAGGGGCCCCGAACCAGCATGCCCCTCGGTGCCTCCTCCACCGGCGTCACAAATTCGTACTCCTGGGCCCTGGGGCCGTAGCTGCCCACCATGTAGACAGCCTTATCCACTGCGGGAGGGGAGGGTGTCAGGGGCTGCCCTCCGCCGCCCACCTTCCTTCCCCTCCCAGGCTGCCCTTCACGCTGCCCTCACCGCGCAGGCCCCGGCGGTAGGTGTGATGCAGACACTTCAGGCCACTGACGATCTCCTTGTTGACCTGAGGGAAGGAGGGTGGGTGTTAAGGGGCTCCTCAGGGAGGCTGGGCCACGTCTGGCTCCCCCACTGCAGCTGCCCTCACCTTGAAGGTGATCTTCACTTTGTAATCAACGCCTTCCTTTAGGACAAACACCTGGTTTTTCACTGCAGCCAGGTCCCCTGTGGGGTAACGGCAGGTACGGTCTGAACTACTGGGATGGGCCAGACACTGCCCCAGGAGCCCCCGGATTGGAAGCGGTGCCCATGAAGTGGTGGTGATGGGCCCAAGACCTGGGACAGGGTACAGGGGTCCTAAGGTCTCCACTCCAAAGATAGATTTGTGGTCTACAGGAGGAAGTTACCTGTGAGGTCCATGGTGATGGGCCCTGGAGCCTGCTCAGATATCAGCGTCAGCCTGGTCACCTGCACGTTGGGCAGGCTGGGGTCTGAGGAGAAATATTGTCCACAGGGTGCCCCACCCGGTCCCACCCCACCACATCCACCTGGTTGCAGCCCTCCAGGCCCAGGGTCCAGGCCCATACCCACTGCAGGTGGCAGAGTCCCCAGCAGTGCCTGCTTGTACTTGGCCAGACTCTCATCCTCTGGGTCCAGCTCCCAGATTTCCAGCATGCTCTTCTTTCCTGGTGCCTGGTACTCCGGCAGGGCTTCATCCAGCACCTCCTCTCCTGGGGTTGGCCCACCTTCCTTGTCAGCCAGGAGGACTGGGCGTTGGGGAAGGTGCGTGAGCAGTTACCACCAGCTGAACCTCCCACAGCCCAAAGGAGCTAAAGAACCAGCTGACGGGGCTTGGAGAGAGGGTGGTCAAGGACAGCTCTGAAGATGCACAGTGGCCCACGCCTGGCCTCTTCAGGAGGGGCCCTGGCAGCTGGAAAAGGCTCCCAAGTGTCATCCCTGGAGGCACCAGCTTGCTTCTGGTCAGCTCTCCATTCAGGGCCGCTCCCTGATGCTGAGGGCAAAGGTGGAGGAATGGAGACCCCAAGGGACTACGGGCTACTGGCTGAGAGTGATAGCCCTGGGTCCTCCAGGGGCTCCCCAGCTCTGTGCTCTTCCCATAATGCCGTGGGCCCCTCCCATGGTGCCTCAGGTTGGGGTCTCCAGAGCCCCTTCAGGGTGCCTTGGGGCAGGGGTCTCCCCGAGCCCCTGCCACTGCCCTCCAGCCTCAGAATGGTGAAGAGCTGGCGCCCCAGCCCCACCTAAGGAAGAGACCCCTGCGTCCTCGGCTCCACATACACTCCTCCACTCTTGGCTCCCTTCCCTGTGAGGGTCGCGTCTGAATGAAGCCCCCATCCCTGGTCAGATGCTGGCTGGGATCCGCGCCGCGAGGTCCCCACGCGCCCCCAAAGTTGACGCGGGGAGGGACCCCCACCCGCGCCACCCCCGCAAGCCCCCAGCGCACGTGGCCGCCGCCCGACCCGGCCGCTCACCTCGGGCGCACAGCGCCAGCCGGAGCAGCTCCAGCAGCTGCGCCCCCAGCTCGCACGCGTCCAGGCCCAGCATGGTGGCCGCGGCCCGCCGCGGAGCCGCCGCCCGCTCGGCTCAGCCCCGGCGCGACTGCGGTGAGCTCATCCCGGCCGGGAGCGCCCCCCGCGCCCAGCGCCGCGCCCGCGCCGCGCGCCCCCAGCCGCTCCGCGGACCCCGCGCAGCCCGCAGAGACGCGCGTGTCGCCCGCACGGCGCCGGCACTGGGTCGTCCCCGCCGCGCCCAGACGCGCTTGCCAAGGCTGCGGTCGCGGTCCCGCCGCCGCCCGCCCCGGCTCAGGGCCGCCACACCCCTGTGGGGAGTCTGGGGTCCCCCGGGAGCCCCTTGGGCGGGGTGGGTGGGACCGGGACGCCAAGTGGAGCAGGTGCACCGCCCCCACGTCCCCGGGCTCTCATTATCAGCAGGAGGCGAGGCGCGGGCCACACCTGGGGCCCAGCAGCCCTCCACCTGCCCCTTCCCATCCCCCCGCCCCAGCCTGTCTGGGCAGAGGGGACTCTTGGGGCTGGCTAACTTCAGGCAGGGTCAGGCAGCACCCTAGGGGTCTATGATCATCAACACCGAGGGCCATGCTGGGCTGGGAGGGACTGTTGTGCCCTCAGGCTGAGCGGCAGTCTGGGCCACACCATAACAGATGTTTATTGATGTCCTGAATGCTGGTGGGGGTGGGGAGGGATGTGTTCTGCAGGGGCCTGGGAACCCAGACAGTTCCCAAAGCCCCTGTGGGGGAGAAAAGGACACTGAAGAAAACAGGGAGGGGTGCTGAGAGGGTTCTTGGTCTTGGCACCTAAAGAAACCTGAGGATAGGGTGGGGATGGGGGATTATGAATCAAGGAAGATGACAGGATGAGCAGGGCCTTAGACTGGGGATAGCTGGACCAAAGGCCTGGGTCTGTGTAAAGGAAGCTGTGGGAAAGCACCCAGCCTGAGTGTCCTCTTAAACATCCTTGCCTCATCCCCATTTCTGGGGATACCCAGGAGTCAGATCCTCCCTTGTCTACAGGGCCCTTTGTCTGAGCAGAAGGCCAGCATTGGGGCTGGGTCCTCACCTCACCGCAATCTTTCCAAAGCGAGATCCTGCAAGGGAAGCCCGGATGTCCTGGATACCCATCCTTGCTGGTCTTTCCCTGAAGGAAGCAAAGGTGATTAGGTCACTGGACTCCAAGCTGGGGACAGCTCCAGCTGCTAATGGCCTTCCACCTCGGCGGATGCCTACTCATCCAGAGAGGGTAGTCAGCTATGGGGCCAATCTAACCTTGTCTGTGGGGGCAGGTGAGCTAGTATCTACGGGAGAGGGTACCGAGGGTGGAGCAGGATTCCCCTCCAGCCCCCACTCCCTCTGCCCCAGCAACTCCTAGACCTGGCCTTAGCAGCAATGGAAATGGACTCAGATGTCCATGTTTGGAGGTTCCTGGTTCAAGGCCACCCCCAACCCCAACTGAATAGGGAAGAGAAGCAAAGGATATTCTATCTCCAAGAAAGAAGAAAAGCCCCATTATACCTCTTAAAAATGGGTCAGTGATTCATTAAACATCCCTGCCTTATCCCCTTTATGCCCACTGAGGCCTAAAGAACCTGGACATAGCTGGGGGAGTCTGGGGTAGGCGTGGCCAAGCTGTTAGAGGAGGGACCAAAACTGCCTGGACTGGTGTCCCTGAGTCCAGAGGCTGCTGCTGAATTTGGGAGGGGGAAATGTTGAGATCCTCATCCCCAGCAAAACCCCCTCCCAAGGTCTAAGGGCACCCTGGCCAGGGTCTTTGCCTATTCTCCAACTGGCCCACTCAGGCCCTGTGCACCTGAGGGGAAGTGAGCCATCCAAACTCCTCTCAGATTCAGGAGACCCCTGGTCAGGGACCCACAGCAGATGAGGGATGTGCCAGGTCACACATTCCCAGAAGTGTCAATCTCTCCACAGTGCTGAGCCATTGTAGAAACACCAAACACGGTTGCCTACGACCTCAGACTGCTAGAGTCACAATGTGCCACAGGACCTGGCACAAGGACTGCAACCTATGACACCACACAGGCCATGCATGGTGCCCCATGTTCACAGGGGACACCTCCTAGGGCAGCTAAACGCCATCCTGACCCCTCAGCACAGACTACAGTTGGTCCCTGAGGGCAGCACACAGGCTAAGGGACGGGCTACCAAGGCCCTAATGTGCTCTGGCTCGCGAGGCTCTGCGATGGCAGCCCATCTTGCCGGGGCTCCGCCATCAGGTGCGCAATTCCCTGGAATCAACACTGGGGCCAGGCCAGGACCCGGCCTGGAAGGCTCGTGGGGCGACTCGGCCCCGCGGCACGGAGGGTTAAACCCTGGCAGGCAAGGCAGGCGCGGGGCGGGGCGGCTCGGACATCCGCCATGGCCATGGCCGCTGGCCGCGCATCCAACGTACGGTGCCCCCGCGTGCAGAGGCCACACCTCAGCAAGGTGGGCTGGGGTCAACAGCATGTATGCATGGGGGAGAGAGCGGGAGAGGGGATGCGGGAGCGCAGCGGATGCGTCCCAGGAACCGCAGTGGGGGAGGGGAGCGAGGGGGCCCGGGGACCCGGCCTCGCTGGTGCGCGCCTGTTGGTCCTGAGCTGACCCCAAGAACTTGGCTCCGTCCACCTCTTCCGCTCAGATGGAGCGGGTGGTCGTCAGCATGCAGGATCCAGACCAGGGCGTGAAGATGCGGACCCAGCGCCTGTTCATCGCCGTCATTCCCCACGCGGTGGCAGGTGAGGCGCGGGGGAGCCCCGCGGGGGGGTGGGGGAGTGGGGTGCGGGGGCTTCTGCCCACCCAGCCTCCCCCACACAGGCAGCGACGTAGTGGAGTGGCTGGTCCAGAAGTTCTGCATCTCCAAGGAGGGTGAGGGCGAGGGTGAGGGTGGGCCCTGCCTGGGTTGGGGAGGGCAGGCTTGGCTGAGCACTCACTCCTGCCCGCCCCCCTTGCAGAGGCCCTGCACCTGGGCACCCTCCTGACGCAGCATGGCTACATTTACCCGCTGCGTGATCCCCGAAGCCTGGCGCTCAGGCCAGATGAGACCCCCTACAGGTTCCAGGTCAGGCTCAATGGGGATCAAGGGGGACCCCTTGCCAGCCCACTTCTGTCCACCGAGACCAGGGCTGGTGCTGGTGGGGGCTCTTGGGAAGGTGGAGCTCGCTGGGGAGCATAATGACAGCACTGGGCTGGTGATCCATGGCCCCCTCCCCAAAAGGCCTGGACTGGAAGTGTCCATGTGGGGAGAAGGATCAAGTTAGGGGAGGGAGTTTGTTTCCCGGGGACTACATTGGACCCAGATAAAGGGCAATATCTGAAGAGGATTCTGCTGCTTCCTGGGCATCCTTGGGTTCCACGAGACACAAGGAGACTGTGCTGGGTGTGAGGACAGGCATCATTGCACCTCAACATGTGTATGCAAGTCCCCTTCCTGCCCTCCCCAGCCATATCAGGGGCCCAGGCCCTACCCCAAGGTAGAACTGTGATTACATTCTTGGATTATCAAGTTCTCACTTCCCCCAACCCAAAGGGAAGTCTTAGGATGCCCAGAGCCAGCCCCTGGACAGGGCCCAGAGGGGTGAATTGGCCTCAGTCAGGTGGAGAGAATGGGCGGTAGTCAACTGAGCTTCCCCAGAGGGGGTAGAGTCAGGAGAGACACCCCTTGCCCGATCTAGTCTCTACAATTTAGGGAGAACTGTGAGGGCAGGTTGGTACCTAGGGTGGAGAATTCTCAGGAAGTCTTGGACACCCTTCTCCCTGCACCACACCAGACACCGTACTTCTGGACAAGCATTCTGTGGCCAGCTACTGAGCTGGACTATGGTGAGTAGGGAGGGTGTGGGGTCAGCCTGGGGACAAGTTCCCAGGACAGGTGGCCCCAGGGATCTGGGACAGGGTAGGGGCAGAGCTTGTCCCTCTGCAACTTGTTTCCTGTCCTTCCAGCCATCTACCTGGCCAAGAAGAACATCCAAAAACAGGGGGCCCTGGTGAACCATGAGAAGGTGGGACTCCAGCAGTCTGAGTTCAATCAGAGGAACCTAAGCCTCACCCCTCGCCCCAGAGCCTCACAGTTTTGCCCCAGAGCATACACCCAGACCCCAAGATAATGCACACACAGCACTCCCTGCATAGTCTCAGTTGGGGAGCCCAATCCCACCATGAAGGGGAATCTTAGGGTGACCAAAGGCAGGAAGGCAGCCCATGTAAAGGGCTCTAGAGTTGGCCTCAGTTCTAGGTAGAAAGATAGCCCCCACACACAACACTCACTCCCAGCAGACTTCCTGGGGAGGCGGAGGTGGAAGTTCATACCCCTGAGCTGGGCGTGAGAGGGGACACCCATGGAAGATCTTGCCACCCCCAGGAGCACTATGACCAGCTGCACAAGAAGATTAACCACACGTGGGACCTGGTAGTGATGCAGGCACGAGAGCAGCTGCGGTGAGACCCTGCCCTGTCCACACCCAGCGGACAATAAGTGCAGATGCTCAGGAAGCCCAGCTGTATGGACACAGCCATGACAGCCCCGGGACCAGGAACAGCTCATCTTAGGCTCTGCTGCCCGCCCAGGCCCAGGCCTGAGTGGAGGAGTGCTATGGAGGGCTCAGCTCCCCCAACCTCTGCCTACTCCTCCCAGGGCAGCTAAGCAGCGCAGGAAGGGGGACAGGCTGGTCATCGCGTGCCAGGAGCAGACATACTGGCTGGTGAACAGGCCCCCGGTGAGCCCCTTCTGGAGTAAGGGGGTGGGGGTCGCCTCCAGCAGCAGGGGTCAGTGTGCTTCCCATGAAAGGTCTCTCAAAACCTCCTACTTGAAGTTGTGGGAAGGATGTACTTTTCAGGGTACTGGAGGGTGACCAGGCAAAGTGTTCTTTTATGACGCAGAGGAGACATGATCAGGTCAGGACCATGGAACCAGCCAGCCTTCCTCTAGGGTTAAAGGAGGGGCACAGGGAGCCAATGTAAGGGCCCATGGGGGAGGGGAGGTGGCTGCTGAGCTCAGCTGCAGTTGGAGGCACTGGGTTTTGGGGACTGCTTCCTGGGAAGGGTGAGGTTCTGGCAGATGGCTTGAGGGCCCTCTACTATCTGAGAGACCCTTTAGGGGGTGGAGTGAGCAGAGAGAAGATGGAGGTCAGGACAAGGTCAGGACTCAGTTCCTGCGTACCTTAGGTCATCTTCCACAGCAAAGGGTGAAGGGTATTGGGGTCTGTGGGAAGGGGCCTTAGTGCCCTATCTCATCTTTCTTCTGCAGCCCGGGGTCCTTAACGTTCTGGAACAGGGTCCAGAGAGGGGATCTTCCATGGCCCGTCAAATGCAGATGGTGAGCACTGGCAGAATCACTCCAGCCCCCCCGCCGCCATCCTGCAGAAGCACACATTGCTCTCCCCACCCCACCCAATGTGAGGGTCTTTGGGCTGCTCATCCACTCACCCACCCATCCTTTGACCTCACCCCAAATGCTCCTGATGCAGCCACTCCCCTGCTCTGATGTTGGTCTCATCCCCTCGTTTCCTACCCTCAGAGCATTGTCCTCTTTCCCCTCCCATCTGCTATCTTGGGTACAAGTAAGTGAAATGACCCCAAGGGAGGGGGTGCTCTTCCCCCAGGCCAGATGCATTAAGAGGGGTAGGGGTGACAAGCAGGACTATGTCCTGGGGGACCTGGGCCACAGCCACCTCTCTCTAGGGCCTCTGGAGGCCTCCAGACCAGAGGGAGCAAGACCAGGACAGACTTAGCAGCAGAGCCCTTTGCTCACATCAGTCCCACCCACACCCACACTCTAGAGCAGATCACGTGTGTCTCACTGATGGGCCTTCTTGCTAATTTCAGCCCTCTAACTCTTCTGTATATAAAGGCAATCAAAGATGTGGGACAAAAATCAGAAATCAGAGCATCCTCCACTTACAACTTCATACCCAGTGCTGGTTGTGGAGAATCAGGACCCTGGTCAGTCAGGCTACTGGGTTCAGCTTCTGCAGCCCAGCCATGAGGAGCTGTCTGGAGGGCTGCTGGGTTCTGAGTTAAACCTTTTCCTTCCCAGTGTGATCCCAGAAGTAGGATTTCTCCTGTATATGTTGTTAAAAAGAATAAATACATTTGAAAATATGACAAGTTAATCACAATTGGGGACCTTCAAGGCAACTTGAAGACCCTGGGGGTTCCATGGAACATTCTGAAAGCCATTGATGAAAGGCTTCAAGAGGCCTCCTAGGGTTAGGGTTAGACGATGGGTCTCTCAGGTTAGGGGGAGTCAGGGGGCTGTTTTCTGCTCAGTCCTGTGGGAGGTGGGATTTCCTGCCTTGTAACTATAGCTACCTGTGCCCTTCTAGACCCAGAGCTCGGATTTCTATAAACAGGAGGTAGGTCCTGGGTGAGGATGGAGTGGGGAGATGCCCATATCCAAACCCAGGTTCCAACTTGCAGCTCGATGTTGTAGATTGAGTGTTACAGGAAGGCGCTGGGCAGGACCCGGGTGAAGTCCTCTATCTGCCTTGAGGCGTGAGTGTGTGGGGGGACCCCCCAGCCCAGACTCTTTCTGGAGCCTCCTCACCTCTGAAACCTGTCTGCACTGGCCCCTGGCAACCCCAGGTACCTGAAGTTCAGCAGTCAGCGTGGCCCACATGACCCCATCATGTCAGGGTGTCTGCCCAGCAACCCCTGGATCACAGAGGACATTACCTACTGGGCCATGAATGCACCCACGTAAGCCCTGGGCATGAGCGTGACACTGCAAGTGTGTTTCCTACCTGGGGACTGGTATTAGGATCAGCATCCCAACCTGTCCCCTGCCTCCACCCCTCTTTTCCCAGGGTGGCTGCACCCACAAAGCTCAGAGTGGAGCGATGGGGCTTCAGCTTCCGGGAGCTCCTGGACGACCCTGTGGGGCGGGCCCACTTCATGGACTTTCTCCTAAAGGAGTTTAGTGGTGAGAAGTCCGCCTCCCTGCTTTGGCCCCATAAGGGACTCTGCTGCCTAGAACCCTTCCTCAGGTTTCCTGCCCAGCCAGTTGGGAGTCCCCAGCCCTGACTACTGCTCAGGATGGGCCCCTGACTTGATGCCTGGCCTCCAGCGGAAAACCTCAGCTTCTGGGAGGCGTGTGAGCAGCTTCGCTTTGGTGGACAAGCCCAGATACCCACCCTGGTGGACGCTGTGTACCAGTGAGTAGGATGGGGTGGGCACTGGTTGGCAGTCGGTCAGGCATGCCTAGCCTGGACCCACTGGTGCTGTCCCCGTGCCCAGGCAATTCTTGGCCCCCGGAGCTGCCCGATGGGTCAACATTGACAGCCAGACAATGGAGCGGACCCTAGAGGGGCTGCGTGAGCCCCACCGCTATGTTCTGGATGACGCACAACTGCACATCTACATGCTCATGAAGAAGGTGGGCAACAGCTCTGTCTCCACTCATTAGAGCCCTTCGGATTCATCTTCAGCTATCTGGCTTTTGTCAAGAACCCTTACTTCAGGGGGCAGGCGGTGTTTGTCATGTTCCTCATCAGAGCCATGCACGGCCTTCTACACTCAGTCCTGGTCTCATTAGACTGTAGTGTGGAGATGTTTCAACCCCACGGCTGTCTCCTTGTGTGTGGTTGCACACTTCCATGCACTCAAGTTGTCCAGAGTTAATGCTGATTAATCACTTTTAAGAATAATGATTTGGAGCCAGGCGCTGGTGGCTCACACCTGTAATCCTAGCTACTCAGGAGGCAGAGATCAAGGACGATCACGCTTTGAAGCTAGCCTAGGCAGATAGCTTGTGAGACACTATCTCAAAAAAAAAAAAAAATCACAAAAAAAGGGCTGGTGGAATGGTTCATGGTGAAGGCCTTGAGTTCAAACCCTGGTTACCCCCCCCACACACACACAAATATTGATTTGGAACTGACAGAGTGGCTCAAGTGGTAGAGGACCTGCCTAGTAAGTGTGAGGCCCTGTGTTCAAACCCTAGCACTCCCCCACACTGCAAAAAAAAAATAGGAAAGAATAATGATTTGCACTGGTGGAGTTGCTCAAGTGTTAAGAGTTCCTGCCTAACAGTCATGAGGTCCTGAGTTCAAACCCCAGTACCACCAATAATAATGGTTTGGAGCCAGGAACAGTGGTGCACACCCATAATCCCTACTGCCTACTGGAGAGGCAGAGGCAGGGGGGGATCTTCAGTGCAAAGCCAGCCTGGACAAATTTAGGGAACCTGTTTCAAAAACAAAATGAGGGCTAGGAATGAGGCTCAGCTGGGACAGAGCTTGTGTGAGGTCCTGGATTCTGAATTCAATCTCCAGTACTGAAGGAAGAAAAAAAAGTTTGGACCCTTAATGCTGTCCAGAGTGCTCAGTGAGATTTGTATGTTAATCCCATCTTAAACTCACTAATTTCAACATATTCAATGGGTTTCTGTCCACAATCATTATTCATTTTTTGAGATAGGGTCTCATTTTGTCTGGGCTGGCCTTCAACTCCTGGATCATCCCATCCTCCCATCTCAGCTGAACAGCTGTGACTACAAGGTCAAGACACCTTGTCCACTTTTAGTCATTATTAAGCAGTGTGGCCACCTGCTCTCTGGTACATAGACTTGTCCTGCCCATACCTGGACTCTGCTTTGCCACAGGGAGCCCTAAGCCCTGGCTCTTTGCAGGGGTGGCATTTAAAAGTTCTAACCTGTGCACCAGAGGCGTTCCTTGTTCCTGGGATGCCAGCTTCCAGGCCTTTCAAGGAGCACAACTAAAAGTATGCATGTTTTATTTTGAGTGTTATCTTTTGGCGGTACTGGGGTTATTTTTAAGAGTTTCATTTTATGGCTAGGTCAGCCTGGATCTCATACTATTTATGCTTCCCGCCATAGAACGACAGGAGCATTGCCACCACACCCATCTTCTATTGGTTAAGATGAGGTTCTCAAACCTCAATCCTCTCCATCTCTGCTTCCCAAGTATCTAAGATCCTGGCTTGAACCACAGCATGTTTATTTAGAAAAAAAAATTGAGGCAGGTCCCACTATGTAACCCAATATGGCCTTGAACCCTGGATCTCTTGCTTCAGCCTCTTGCGTGCTGAGAATTCAGGCATGCCTCCTCGTGCCCTAATAGTATGCATGTTTTAGGTAAGATGCCATGGGATGGGCATGGTGGTACATGCCTGTAATCCTACATACTTGGGAGGCATAGGTTGGAGGATTAAAGTCCAGGCTGGTTGGGGCAAAAAAGCATGAGATCCTATCTGAAAAATAACTAATGCAAAAAGGGCTGGTGGTGTGGCTCAAGTGGTAGACCACCTGCCCAGCAAGCACAAAGCCCTGAATTCAATCCCCAGACCCAAAATAAGTATCAGGAGTGCACACTGGCACTTCCAATTTGCATTGAGGTTAGAGACTTCTCAGCCTCTTTGACCTGGGGCTTCTGCCTCCTCTCACCCATGATGAAACCTGGCTTCTGCAGGTGGTGATGCCATTGCTTTTCTCTCCTTACTTCTCCACCAAGCAGCACAGCACTGCCCTTCACTCCTCCGCCACTGAAAACTTAGTTTTTCCTTTTGTATGCATCCAACTCAATTTGCCTTGAATAGTTCTGCCACGCGTGACTTCTGCCACTCTACTTTCAATGTCTGGGAATTGCTTTGTGTGTATTATTGAAGATTGAACCCAGGGCTTGCATCACCTACTTAACTTGAATTAAGCCCTCAGTCCGTTGTTTTGTTTTTGAGATAAGGTCTCCATAACTTCCCTGGATAGCCTTGAACTTACTATCCTCCCACTTCTGCACCATCATGCCTGGTCTCTTTACTGGTAGTCCTGGGGTTTGAACTCAGGGCCTGACACTTTCTAGGCAGATGCTCTTACTGCTTGAGCGACTACACCAGCCCTTTTTGTGTTGCATATTTTCAACATAGGGTCTCACGAACTATTTGCTGGGGACTGGCTTTGAACCATGATTCTCTTGATCTCTGCCTCCTGAGCAGCTAGGATTTATAGATGTGAGCCATCAGCGCCCAGCATTATTTTTTAATTATGTAAAATATCTAGTTTCCAAGTTCAATCTATAGAGCAAGGCACACTTAAATAAATCTAGCTTATATCCTAGCCCCTCCTTTCCACTAGAGTTAATAATTCAAAATTTATTATTTCTCTTCCTTTGAAAATACAAGCAATGCTGGCCACAGGATCCTCTCTACTAACACTGTGCAGTTTGACCCCATATCCTTTCCCCCCTCTTTAGAGATATAGATACTCCGGCTTCTTACTCCTGGCTGTAGGTTCCACCTCCATGTATGGACGCAGTACCTCTTGCCCATCTTTTGCTCTTATGGCCCACTGGGTCTGACCAACTTGGTTCAGGCAGGTCTGCAATGGTTGCTCCAACTACCATGTTCTTGGGGCCTATGCTTGGCTGGACCTGGCTAAGAGGTAAGGAGTAGAATAGGGAGCTGGATGTTGTCTCTTGCAGGACTCCTACCCGAGGTTCCTGAAGTCTGACACGTATAAGGGCCTGCTGACAGATGCTGTGATCCCACTAGAGACAAGGCGGAGGTGAGCCCAGGCAGTGCCCTGTGTCCACAGATGGTGAGGCCCCTGCAGAGGGGGGACAGGGCCCTCTAGCCACCTGCCCTCAGTCCCTTCTCACCCACAGAGCATTCCCATTCATGCGGAAGCCTTGCTCTCCTTCCAACCTCTGAGGAGCCCACTGCAGCCAGCAGCCCTACAGGTGGTGATGGGAAGGCCTAGATGGAGCTCACCTCATTGCCTCTTGCCCTGCTGCCCCACACCGTGTGACTCTGGGGTCACACTTCCCTGAGCACTGCCGAGTCCCCAGCACTAATGTCCCAGTGCCCAGAGGTCCTAGTCACACCACAGTAAGGCAGAAGCCTCTCACCAGATAAACCCTCCCCTGTCCAGAAGGAAATGATCCAGCTGATTCCCAGGGAGGGAGTTCATTGGCTCAGGTTGGCTGGGGCAGGATCCGTCACAGGAAGAAGGGTGAGGCCAAGGCCCCTCAGATCACTGGCATTCTGTGGTCTTCAGTTCAGCATTGGGTGTCATTTAAGTTAGTCAGGTACACACACTTTTCATGTGAAGAGGAACCAAAGGTCTAGGGGTACCCTGCCTGTTCAGGAGAGCTGTCACCACCCCCGTGACCCTATTTCAACTGAGGACAGGTTGAGTGTCTTCTCACTCAGCAGACTGTGCCAGCAGGTACCACCTTCACCTGTTGCACATGGTGTCCTTTTCCATCTGGCCCTTGCTTCTATACCAGATTTGTACATAGGTGACTCCATGTTGTTGGCTTGACCATGATGCTCCCACTCGTGTGGTGGAGCTGGTACACAGTGTTCCTGTCCAAGCCATCCTTTGTGCCACTGTCATGATTCCCCCTCCCTGAAGTGCTCCCTGCCATCATGCCAGAAGTAGAATGAAGGTGCAGGCTGGCACCTTTCTTGATGCTGCCCCACCCACAGGGCTTGGCCCCACCCTCTTCTGCACAGAAATAAAACTTGGGCCCTTGCTCTGGGCCCATCCTGCCACGGGTCCAGCTTGTGGCCTGTATGCATGTGTGGTGTGCTGCTTGTGTGTGTTGTGTGAGGTGAGGGCGTGGTATATGTAATGTGGTAGGAAGCAAAGACCGATGGCATGGTTCAGGTGGGAAAGCACTCCTGTGGAGGGACCTGGCCTTCTCAGCTTCAGCTGGACCTCCGTACGCAGACTTGGGGAACAAGTGAAGAGACAGTGAAGCATAGTCTGTGCTTTGGCACCCAGGTAAGCAAGGTGTATGAGCACACCAACAGAGCCAGGAAGCTGTCAAGGGAGCCGTGGGGGGAGGGGCTCCCACCACTGACCCAAAGTCCCCTGGGGCGGTTGTGCTTAGCCGCTCTGTGGCCCCAGAACGACAGGGGGAAACACCACGGACAGAGCCCCAGTGTCCACGCGCACTCTGGGAGTAAGGGAGGGACATTCTGCTGGCACTTTAACTCTCGAACACAGGCTCCTTGTCTTCAGGTGACCTGTGGGGTGCACCTCCGTCCACAGCTGACTCTGGGTCCTGGGGCAGCATCCTTTTGGGCTCTTGCAGCCCCAGGGGCAACTCCCCATTGCCCCCTGAAGGTTTTCACAAAGGCAACCTGTCCCCATGGCTCATCTGTGCTGAGGGATGTGTGAACTGGATTACCTTTTTTCTTAGGGACAAGGGACCCACTTCCTGGCATGAGGACACCCACCCACTCTGCCTCTTCCCTTGTCCACACCCAAGCTTTCCCAAAACCAAGAAGGCTTTGCCTGAGCAGCTGTGAGGCAAGGCTGCTACTTAACCACCACAGCAAATTCATGCAAGGCTCTCCAAAGGACAGTAATGCATTCTCAGGCCAAGCTCACCTCCAAAAAGCTCTCCCAGATTCCTCCTGCCCCTGCGGTGGCCAGGGCTAACTCTGACCCCTCCATGGAGAATACAAGGGTGCTGAGACCACACTCCATCTGTCCCAGATGGAGCTTCATGTTCTCGGGGTTGGTGCCTGTCCTCTCTTGGAAACCCTGCTGAGGCTGCGGGAGGACTGCAGGCCATTCCTATTGGGCAGGAGCACTCACCTCCACTGCTCTTCCCACCCTGAGTCAGAATCCTGGCCAGCAGCTCCTGTTCACCATTCCAGGAGCAATCCACTTTGCTCTCAGAGGCAGGCAGGCAGCAGGCTTATACATGGCCACCAGGGCTTTTCAGACAGTGCAAATTGTTTATTCTGTTGTTTTTTTGTGGTGGCTGGAGTTGTAGGGCTGCTCTGGCTACAAAGCTTGGGCTCTGGTCTGGGCAGGGCTGCTCTGCACAGAGCACACAGCTGCCCTTGGCCTCAGGAGCAACAAGGCACAGAGGTGAGTCCTGCATCAGGTGAGCACCGGGAAGTAGAGGAGTGGAGGAAGGAGGTGCCTGCCATGTCCAGGGTACAGGGGCTTCCTGAGGGACAGCAGCCCTAGTGTGCTGAGAGGCACAGACTGACCATGTACCTTGTGGATCTGAGATCCAGAACAGACCCCCTCCACCTTGTCAGAATCAACCCCTTATGATACTTCCTCTCTGCTCTGGAAAGGAATAGGGGACTTCATGGCCTTTGGTCAAAGCTGCCGCCCTCAGGCCACCCCCAGGGCCCACCACCCTCTGAGCTCCATCACTCCCAGGACATGGTAGATAAAGGGCAGAATCAGGAAGGAAGAGGAATTAGCCACAATAGTGGCTTCTCCATTGTGGCGGCTGATGGTGAGGAAGGCACCAGGTAAGGGTGCCTTCCCCTAGGGCTGAGCTCTGACCAAGCTGGCCCAGGGAGACAAGGAGGCAGCCTGACCTTGACAAGACCCCACAGGCCATACAGTGAGACCACAGAGGGCTCAGGGAGGACATGGAGTTCTGGGAAGGAGGACAGGTACACCCCCTTGCATATCCCTGGATACAGCTGGTAAGGCCATTAACTTCCTATGGGAGTCTATCAAGAGGGTCAGGACTAGGGGGTCACTGTGGGGGCCAAGGGAAGGGCTGACTCCCCAGGATGCTTAACTTCCATGTGCTTCAGTTGATGCTGCCTAGGCCTTGCTCCGGTACCGCAGCCGGGAGAACCGATCCCTGATGGCCTGGTCGCTGTCTGACCTGCCCTCACCCAGGCGGACCACTCTGCTGCCTGGGACAAGGTCCCGCACCTTGTGCTTGGTCACAGAGACTAGGCCAGGCTCATCTGAGCTTGCTGGGCCTGTCAGGAGCACGTAGGCAGCATGGCGGCTGGGCTCAAACAGGACCGCTGTCAGGGACACATCATCAGTGACTCTCAGGACCAGCTAGAGGAAAGTTGGGGTCAGGGAGACCCAGCCCATAGCCAAGGCCACACTTACCATCAAAGGCAACAATGTTGGCAGACACGTTGGCCAGCTCCAGCAGGACACTGGGCAGGGTAGGGTGAAACATGTACAGGCTGTGCCGTGCCTCTATGGGTTCCTGGAGTGAGAGCCAGCAATGGGTTTCATACTCCTGCTACGCCCAGCTTAAGTTGGGCCTGGTCTACAGACATCATTCTGGACAATGCTTAGGTCACCCCCACAGACACTGTCAGAATGACCATGCCTAGTGCTCTGGGTTCATGAGGGTCACACTGAGGACCCTGCCAACTCTAACTCTACACCCACCTGCCATCCCATCCTTCCTCCAGCTTGAGCCTGGGTCTGGTCCCTGCTGGTGTCCATCAACACCTGCCTTCCCCATCACTGGTCAGCCAATGTCTCCTAGATCCCTCTCACACACCTTCAGAAAGACCCCTTGGGACACTTCCTTCTTGGCCTGCAATGTCTGGGACACACTCTCTCAGCTTCAATGGACTGTGGTGGTCCAGTCATCAACAGCTTCTAGGGGGACCTGAGCTTGGCGTCTCTGGCCTGAGCCCCAGGTAGGGGATGCCCTGAGTGTGTGCCCCATACCATCTCGCTGCTGCCAACCAGCTCGTGGAGGCCCCAGAAGAAGAAGGCTGAGCGGTGGTCTGCAGTTGGCAAGCTGGTAGATGGTGGGCCCCCGGGGAGGCTTGGGAGGGCCTGGCTCCACAGGATTGTCCCAGTGCTGAGGTCCAAAAGCATGATCTAGGGAAGGAGGGGATACTGTGAGGGGCATTAGGACAACCTCTACTTGTACAGGCACAGGTCCCAGCCTCACCAATGCTGAAGGCAGCTGCCCTCCGAGGACAACCAGAACCTTCTCACTGGTTCTGAGGCGCTCTGTCTGCCCTGGACAAGATGGAACCCAGAGGCACAGCACACCTGTCTATCAATGTTGGTTCCATTTTCGATAAGCACGGCCAAGGTGTCTGGTTTGTAGTGGCCAAGAATGGGTTTTCTGTGAGGAGAGTAGAGAAGAAGAGTTCACAAAGATGAAGGAAATACCTGGGTCAGACATGCAACTCAGTCCTCTGTGGCTGCACTGGGACAGGTCTAGGGCTGCCCACATCCAGCCCCAGGACATGGAGTGGATGCCCATAATCATGGTCTCATGGCCCCTCCACAGGTGCACTCAGAACCAGGACAGGTGGGAAGCCTCTGGGAGAAGCACAAGGGCCCCTCCAGCTCATTCTCCGTGGGGTGGGCTGGGGAATGCCAGAAAGGCCTGTATCTGCTATGGGGTCTATCTGGCTTTGGAAAAAGACCCTGTACCTCAGGATCTGGGCTGTGCTGAGGGTCCATCTGGGTGTCAGCTCTTGCCCATCCAGTAGCATACAGGCCTCTGAGCTCACAAGGAGCATGTCCTGACCAGCCTTCCCTGGAACGTTCATCAGGTAGCGGACTGCTCCAGAGCTACACAAGAAGAGTGGGAGGAAAGTGCACAGGGTCTTTGGGATGAGTCTCACACCTGGGGCAGGCCTGTTGGGGGCTGCTTCCCTCAGGTCCTCAAAGTTAAGAACATAGACAAGACCCTGGTTGTGTGGGATGAGAATGAACACCTCATCAGGACTCTCCCCTCAGTTCTTACTAGGCTTTTGTTTGCCCACTTCTTATGTTTGAAGGCAGACAGCCTCATAGTACAGCAAGGCACCAGCACCCTCAGCCTGCTTGGCTGTCCCATGCTCCCTGCCAATTGTCCCTGACCAAGGCCCGTGATCTGTGGGACAGATGCCTGTGTATGTTAGACCAACCTGTGCAGAAGTCTTCTGTGGATGGAGGAATTTAGCATGTTCTCCCAGAAGGGGTCTTTCTTAAATGGGCCATCTTTCCCGGTCACCTTCTCATAAAGGCCCTTCACAGAGGAGCCGCAGAGAGAACTTGCTATCCAAAACAGAGAAGAGCTCAAAGTCACAATGATTGCCCCCAAGGCCCTGGGACCAAGTGTGTTCACCAGCCCCACTTCTAGGAGCACATGAGCTCCCTGACTAACAGTGATTAACTGCAGCTTAGAATAGGAGCAGGAGCCAGGTACCAGTGGCTCACACCTGTAATCCTAGCTACCCAAGAGGCAGAGATCAGGAAGACCATGGTGCCAGGCAAATAATTCGTGAGATCCTCTCTCAAAAATACCCAATACAAAAAAGGGCTGGCAGAGTGGCTCAAGTGGTAAAGTACCTGTCTAGCATGTGTGAGGCGTTGAGTTCAAACCCCAGTACCACTAAAAAACAACAACAAAAAAACAATAGGAGTGGAAGCTGCCAAGCCCAGTGGGCTTGCCGATTTCCTCACACGTGGATTTCTCCAAATGCTGAGCCTGTCGTTAAGCCCAGTACCACCTTGACAGGGAAGCCTGTCCTGGGAACATGGAGGATGGCATACCACAGGGCAGGAGGATGTAGTGTGCACCCGTCCAGGTGACATGGAGGAGGGCGCTGCAGTCTCCATCTCCATCCACACCAAGGCTGCCTCTGTGACCAATCTGGTGCCCAGTGCTTCCTGAATAGATGTCCCCACTAACCTGCAGTGATAAAGGGCAGCAGGGGAGAGACAGACCTGGATCCGCAGGAGGGAGAAGGGTATTTCAGGGAGGTGTCAAAGCAGAAGGTGGTCAAAATTCTCTTGGTTTTTGGGAATGTGTGCTTGAAGTACGAGTAATTGAAAAGGAGAGTCTGTGGCTGCATATTGCACAGCCTGACTGGGAGGTGCGGGGCAGTCCTGGGGCCTGCAGTTCATCTTTATCTTGCAATGGCACAAATGAGAAGTGTACTTCCTGCCACTCTTGCGGAAGCTCCGCAAGCTGTCTATAGAGACAGAGCCATTTCAGCACACTATGTCTACAGGCCTCAGGAACAAGGGGCCCTGGGTGAATCCCAACAGGCAATCACCCAAATGCTCTCTGGGTAGAAATGGATGAGGAGGCAGAAAAGGGGCAGTATGGCAAGTGGGCCTGGGTGATGGGAGGAGAGCTTGTTGATCTGCACCTCCTTTCCCTCCTGGGTGAGAAGCAGCAGGTCTGGGGTGCCATCACCATCAACATCAGGCAGCTGGAGTAGAGGGCTCAGGATGGAGGTATTCCCACCAAAGCTGCCAGGGTGGCTCCACAGGGTATCTCCTAAAACCAAGCATACCATCACTTCATGCAGCCCCAAGTCCCCTTCTCAGCAGTCACGTGGCAGACTCACATGAAGGCCTCCACCCTCCAGACCCCAAGGCTGACCAGGAGCGTGGTCAAGTAGACCTGATGGTTCTACACACACAGCCAAGTGAGAAGAGACTGGTGGCCACATGAAAAAATGTGTAGTTTCTGAGAACTGCCATTCTCCCTTCCTCATCTCATGTCTGGAGTCCCTATTATCAGGCCATGAGCAAGGGCTATTCTACAACACCCAGGGCCAATGAGATGCTTTCCACTCAGGAGACAGGATCTGACCTTAGCCAGAGCTTGAGGTCCCCAAGACCCCTGCCTCTGCCTCCTGAGTCCTGGGATTACAGGTATATGCTAGCACACCCAGCTCTATTACTTGATTCTTCAAATTTTTCCAGCCTGCTCTTTATTTTTCTCTAAACCTTAAAACTACAACCTTCAGGTTGGATGTGTAGCTCAGTGGTAAAGAACTTCCCTAGCATGTCCCTAGGTTTGATCCCTAGCACTACACACATAAAACAAAACAACACAACAACAAAATACCCCTAACAACTTGTAAGAGAAATGCCAACATCCACAAAATCTAGGCACAGAATGTTTTACAACTCCAGTGAGGTACCAGGGGCCAACCCCAAGTGCCCCACTGTGCCTTCCTCACCTGGTGCTCACACAAGGTCAGTTATGCTAAGGACAGAGATTTATGCCCTCAAGTATAAGCACCAACAGGTCAGACTAGCAGCCACGTCCTTCCTCCTCATCCCTGCTCACATCCACTGCTCCTGCCAGAAGGATGCAAACTAGGTGGGATAAGACACCACTGCCACATGCCAAAGCGGCAGAGGCAGCCATACCCTTGCCTGGGGGTCTCCCACCCAGTCAGCCACCTTCCAGAGTGAGTGACACCCCCATCACCACCTACCTGTGAATAGGTCAAGTGCAATGCGAGAACCAGGTCTTCCCATGAGGATGCAGGCAGAAGACACCTTGCTTCCTGACAGCTGCGACACAGTGCACTCCATGAGGGCTACGTCTTGGGCCACAGGCTTCTCCCAGAGCACACTGCCGTTGGCTCCCGACACAGCAGCCGCAAAGGTGCAGGGGGTGGAAAATCCTGGAGGGGAAGCCCAAGCAACAGGCCGGCTTCTGATCAGTTCCTGTCAGGAACTGGCCTGAGATCAGCTCCTGTCTTCCTCAGCCCTATGCCTGCCTGCGCCCCTTTCCTTTGTACCTGGCCCTATAAGCCCTCAGACTCAGAGGGTGCTTGTGTTGGCCCCATGTGGGGTGAGGGAGCTGACCCTGTCTTCTTGCCTCTGCCAAGTCTTTCTAGGAAGGAGGAGTGATGGAATGGTTCCCAGAATCCTCACCATTTTGTTCCCCAAATATCACAGAAGTGAGAGTGTGACCCAGAATCAAGGTCCCTCTTCCCATAGGGAGCCCCTTCTTTTACCTTCATCAGAACAGGATCTGGTGAAATTGTTACTGCTGTTGATGTTTTTATAAAGAAAGAGAACATCCTGGATCCTGTCCTTGTTGATGTCTTCCATGGCCAAAAAGTCATAGATGACTGAAAAAGAAAGTCAAGGTTATGTTCTATAGGCCATACCTGTCCAGAGGCAAGGTCAAGGGTCAAGTCTAATTACTCATTTCTTGCTCTGGGGATGTGGGGCCCATTGGAACCTGCCTCTGTAAGGTCACCCAGCAAGGGCAGTGTCTTCCTCACTAGGAGGAGCCATATTCTGCAATTCTTCAGAAACACAGCAAATTCTTCAAAGGCAAGAGGATGGGAAGACACTATCGGGTGTTGTGTGTGTGTGTGTGTGCTTGCGTGTGTGAAAGGGTCTCACTATGTACCCAAGCTGGCCTTGAACTTTTTGATCCTCTTGCTTCAGTCTCCTGAGTGCATTATTAGGTGTCAGCCATCAGAAAGGAACAGCAAGACAACTGGGTATTACAAATAGGCACTCTGAACACCTTTTGTTCAGGAGAGAATCTTAGTCCAGCAAGGGATCCAGAAAGCCATACTTGGTCCCTGTGAGGGCCTGCTGTTTCTGTTCATTTAAGGTCTCAAAGGACAGAAGGATGAAGCTGGCCGGCCACAGTGGCTTATGCCAGTAATCTCAGCTACCTAAGAGTAAAGACTGAGTAGATCATGGTTAGAGGCCAGCCCTGGCAAAAAAGTTAGTGAGACTCCATCTAAACAAACAAGCAGGGTGTGGCGATACACATCTGTAATTCCAGCACTTGGAAGGCAGAGGTAGGATGATCACAAGTTTGAGGCCAGCCTATGTTACATAGGGAGACCCTTTGTCACAAAACCAAAACCAAGGGGAGTAGGGATATAGCTCAGTGGAAAAAGCAAGTGGTAGCATGCATAAGCCCCTGGTTCAATGCCCAGGGGCTTAGTAGTAATGAAAATTACTACTAAAAATCTTTAAAAATATATGTAAAGTGAAAACAGTCATACAAAGGTACCCAAATGTATGATTTCATTCATATGAACATCCAGAAAAGGCAACTCTGTGGAGACAGAAAGCAGACAAGCAGACTAGGACCAGGAGAAGGAGAGTGGGAAGCAATGGCAAGAGGTGGCCAGGAATCCACAGGAGTGAAGAAAATGTTCTAAAACCGGATGCAGTGACAGGTACAAACTCTGTACAGTGACCACAAATCACTGATTTATATCCGTAAACCAGTGCATGTTATGGTACTTAAATTTCTATAGAAAAAAAACCCAAGAAAAGAGAGGAATACAGATTACTACCTCCCTCCAAAGTAAGCACTAGGGCTGGTGGTGTGGCTCAAGTGGTAGTGTGTCTACTAGCAAGCATGAGACCATGAGTCCAACCCCCAGTACTGCAAAAAAAAAAAAAGTAAAATAATGAACCACTAACTTCTGAACAGAACTGCCATAAGCAAGGCTTCAACAAGAAAGATTCCGTATCCTACCAAGAGAAGGTAAGTCTGTACAAAGAAACTTCTGAGGCTGGCAGCTCTTGAGCCCACCAATAGGTGAGAAACACTGTTCCCCAGAGTGAAAGCTCACTCAGTTGCTTTTCTTTCTTTCTTTTCTTTTGTTTTTAGTGGTACTGGGGTTTAAACTCAGGGCATCATATTTGCTAGGCTCAACCACCTGAGCCACTCTGCCAGCCGTTTTTTGGGTTGGAGAATTTTTGAGATAGGGTCTTGCTTTTGTTTCCTGTGTTGGCCTCAAACCATGATCCTCCTGATCTCTGCCCTCCTGAGTAGCTAGGATTACAGACATGAGCCACCAGCGCCTGGCTTGCTTTTCTTTCATAAAGGCCAATTTTATGGGCAGGAAGGAAGGTGCACTTCAGTCCAGCTCTCTTTTGGTAGGAGCACCTTGGAAAGTCTAGACCACACCATCTTCTGCCTGTTTGTCACATTTTATAAAGCCATCTCAATCTTTCAGCTGTTTAGCAAATAACTAAATGGGCCACTTTCGCTTATTTGCCCAACTGCAGTGCTTCCTGTTTCATTCAGAGGCTGCTCAGTAGCTCCCTAAGGACTGGGAATGTGGCTCAATACAGTACTGCAAAACAACAAAACAGTAGCTCCCTAAAATCCCAGGAAAGCCACAGACATAGACTTGGCAGACGCTTACAGTAGACTTCCTGACAAAGACCCATTCCAAACCCAAAGACACACAATACTGATCCCGGAGAACAGGGTCTGGGCTCACCTGCTGCATTGTAATCAATCTTCCACATTCGCTCTGACACTGGTCGGTCTGGACATGGGATGATGAACGAGACCACAAATACCACGAAAAGGCAGATGAATAATGAAAGGAAAAATGCCACCGTTCGGCATCGGGATAGCCGGGACTGTGGAGTCTTGCTTTTTAAGTTATCTTCATTTTTCAACCGGTTTCCCAGATTTTCCTGTGATTTTCTGTCTTCATTCTTCAAGGGGTGGATCTCAGCTTCTAAATCCTTATTGTCCACCATCCTGTGCACATTCCTAGGGTTGACTCCTAGTCACTGTGTCAATAAAACAAGAGGGGGTTTAAGGCCAGTGGTCTCACAGCAAAAAGTTGCAGCATATAGCAAATGTTGCTATTTTCTTAGGAGTTTAGTTGTAGCTGCCACTGTGGACCATCAGCCCAAGCAATAAATGCTATAGAAGCTAAGTATGATAGTGCATGCCTATAATCCCAGCCCCTTGAGAGGTGGAGTCAGGAGGATCACAAGTTTGAGACCAGCTGGGCAAAGTCAGTGAGAACCTATGTCAAAAACAAAATAAAAACAAAAGGATTGGGCGCACAGTTCAAATGGTAGAATGCCTGCCTAATAAGAGACCTCCACACACACAAAAAAAAGAGGCCATGGGTTCAATCCCCAGTACCACCAGAAAACAAAAGTATATAAACACTTGGGATTCCAGTCTCAATGATTCTATTCAAGAAGGTCTCCAAGTAACGCAGAAAGGCAGATTGGTTGTGTAGCGAGAACAGGCAGGACACTCTCCAACCCTAACACCCTGGAGCTTCTTGCCTGCTTCACCAGCTGCGGCAACAAAACCCACACATTTACCATTAACTAAGCCTGCTTGCCCACCTTTGGGTTTACTTGACCGGCCTCTGGCACAGGAAAAGGGACCCACATGAGATTTGGTGAAGTCAAAATTGTCCCACATGACTCCTTGAGTGCTACAGACACCTTTTTGCTTTGGTTGTTTTTGAGACAGGAGCTTGCTTTATGCTGGGCCAGCCTGCACTGCGATTCTCCCATCTATGCTTCCCTGTGTAGCTGGGGTGACAGGCATGTGCCATTGTGCCCAGTCATTGGTTAATATGAGCTTTCTTGAACTTTTTGCCCAGGCTGGCCTTGAACCATGATCCTCTCCATCTCTGCCTCCCAAGGAGCTGGAATTACAGATATAAGCCTCTGAATCCGGCTTCAAAAAATCTTAAGTGAGGTCAGGCACCAGTGGCTCACACCTCTAATCCTAGCTACTCAGGAGGCATCGCGAATGGGTAAATATCCAACACAAAAAAGGGCTGGTGGAGTGGCTAAAGTGGTAGAGTACCCGCCCAGCAAGTGTAAGGCCATCAGTTCAAGTCCCAGTACTTGAAAAAAAAAATCGTTAAGTGAAGATGGGCTCTAAAGTCCCAACCTTGCTCTTAGTATGTGTGACCTGGGACAGTGATTTGACTTGACTGTGCCTTAATTTCCTCATTGGTAAAAGGGACACAGCACCTGCTTTAGAAGACTGTATGCATATAAAGCATTTAAACCAGCATCTGGCACACTGCAAGCACCCAAACATTAGCTTTTTATTACTAATAGTAAGACACAGTATGTGGAGGGAAGAGCCTGCTTTCTCCTTGCCAAGTCTGCTCCTGCCACTAGACTATGTGATGTATAAACCTGGAGTGGCCTCTCAGAAGCCAGAACAGAAAACACTCTTCAAGTAAAAGCCACAGCACAAGAATGACCACAGATCCCTTATGTCTGCAAAGTACCATGTCAGTCCTGACTCGTTTCTGCTGTGCTATGTGTGGAAACAGACTCCTGCCTTGCCTACGCAAGATATTTGTTATTTGGTCCTTTTAAGCAGTCAAGAAGGTGTTTTACCTAACACAAATTACATGGAGAGGTGGCAGGGATTGTGTGGATCTGAGTGAGTTTTGACTATAATTTACCCGAAAGGAAAGCCAAAAGTCTATGATTCAAAGGGTGGAAGAGGTCATGCCAGAGGGTAGATGGAGGTGACCATCAGCAGACATGGCCATAGCTGCATTGGCTGCCCTCAGGGAAAGGTCAGGAAACAGACGGAGACATCAGACTGCTCTTTTTTGTTTTGAACTTTTAATTTTTGACTTTAACTATTTTTTTCTTTGATTTTTTTTTTTTTTTTTTTTTGGCAGCACTGCGGTTTGAACTCAGGGCCTTAAGCTTGCTAGGCAGGGTCTCTTACTGCTTGAGCCACTCTACCAGCCCTTTTTTGTGTTGGGTTCTTTCAAGATGGGGGCTTGTGAACTATTTGCTCAGGCTGGCTTTGAACCACAATCCTCCTGATCTCGCCTCCTGAGTAGCTAGGATTACAGGTGTGAGCCACTGGTGCCTGGCAGGATCGCAATTTGAGGCTAGTTCAGGCAAAAAGTCCACAAGGCCTCATTTCAACCAATAAAAGCAAGGTGTGGGTGGCAAGTGCCTGTCATCCCAGCTGCAGGGGAAGTATAAAAAAGGAGAAATCACCTTCCAGCCCAGTCCAGGAATAAAAATGAGACCCTATTTGAAAAAAGGCTCAAGCATGGCTTGAGCAGTAGAGCATCTGCCTAACAAGTGCCAGGCCCCAAGTTCAAACCCCAGTACTGACAAAAAATGTTTTTAAAAATGAGTGATGGCGAAATCAGAACCTTCACACATTGCTGGTAGGAAGTGGCACAGGTGCTGTGAACAATAGGCTGCCCAGTTCCTCCAAAGCAATTCTACTCTGAGATCTATACCCATAAGAATTTAAAACAGACTCAAAAGCTTGTAAATAAGTGTTCACAGCTTCATTATTCACAATGGCCAAAAGGGGGAAACAATGAATGAATGGATAAACAAAATATGGTCCCATCTAAACAAGGGTGTGTTACTCAGCCTTCCAGAGGAATGAAGTTCAGACATGTTGGTGAGCCTTGAGAACATCACACTAAATGAAATAACGCAGACTAAAAGCTCACATATGGTACAGCTGCATGTATATGAAACATATAGGGTAGAAAAACCCATGGGGATACAAACAGATGAGTGGTTGCCAGGAGCTGGGAGGTAGGGAGTAACCACTAATAGGTCTGGGGTTTCCTTCTGAAATGATGAAAATGTGCTAGTTACAAAACACAGTGAATGTAAATGTCACTAATGGGAAATTTTATGTTATGTGTGGTTTATTTTATTTACTTTTGAGACAGGGTCTAATGTGGTCCAGGCTGGCCTGGAACTCCTGACCCTCCTGAGTACTGGGAGGGTCACCAGCACTACCACACTTTGTGTCTTTTACAATTACAAACAAATCTGTGTGCATTCTCCTTAGTGCTGAGGCATAAGTTTTAACATCTTGACTGTCAGGAGAGGTGTTCCTGTCAAAGGTAATGAGTTGAACACAGGAAAATCAAACAATGAGTCATGCTGGGGACCGCATTAAGCCCAAGCACCTGAAATGGAGGTGGGAGGTATGGCAGAGGCTGTCTGGAAAGAGGTAATCAGGGGAAAAGGTAGCAACTGGACTTGGTAGTGGGTCACCAACAGGGGCAAGGGTCAGCACACAGAGGGCAGGAGAGCACCTTACTAAGCAAATCCAGCTACCAAGTCCCTGAGGAAGGGCCATTTGAAATGTTTAAAGCATAAATTCCTTTGGTAAAGGAAAGAAAACTGAAAAACCAGAATCCTAAAGTTCTATATTTTTATCTTTGAAGCACTATTACTTAAAAGCCTTAGCACTCAGGCAAGAAACTCAAGCATTCTGAGCCTTGGCTGTCTTCATTTGCCAGAAGCCAGAGTATCTTTGGTGCTGGGCAGGCAACCATCCTTAAAGCTCACATACCATGCAAGAATGAGGGCACTGTTCAAAAGGACCCCAGGACTCTGAGATAAGGCCCATCCACCCTCTCCCAGGACTACCTGGTCGTGGGGGCACTTGCAGGGCGTGTTCAAAAGCAGCTTCTGGCCAGCCTTTGGTGCATCTGGTCACCGGGTTTGGACGGGGAATCCGTGTCTTCATAAGCCCAGGTGGATCTAGGGAATCATAAAACCCTTGGAAAACACATCACAGGCACTATGTTTCAGGTTCTGCCACAGCTGGGATTCTCAGCCTTGGCTCCACAAGAACTATTTAGGTGCTTTTAAATTCCTCACACCACACCTCAGACCAAGTAAATAGCCTCTTTGGATGGAAGTCTAAGGCAGGAGCGCAGTTAACACTTTCCCTGTGACTTCCAGGAGCAGTTGAGTGGAGAAATCTGCCATGTTCATTCCATGTCAACTCTTGGAGGACGACTAGATTTCTCTGACCCCTGGAATGGAGACTCATCCCTACTGCCAGTCTGGAGAGAAGCACAGCAAAGGGAGGAATGACCCCTCTTGAATCAAGCTGCCCAAGTACACTCTGAGTTTTCTCTTTCTGGGAACTCCCAGCAAGCTTAGCTGAGACAAGTGCAGACCTGAAACCAGTAAACAAAATTGCAACTTTTCTTAAATGATCTTTGAATCTCAAAACTATATGGATCCTAAAGCTAAGAACAAAGGACAATGCAGAACATCACTATCAAGCAGTTTGGATTTTTAATTTTTAAAAATCAGCAATAAATAGCTGGGTGCTAGTGGCTCAGACCTGTAGTCCTAGTCACTCAGGAGGCAGAGATCAGGAGGATCGTGGTTTGAAGCCAGCCCGGGCAAATGGTTTGAGAGACCCTCTCTCAAAAACAAAAGATCACAAAAAAGGGCTGGTGGAGTGATTAAAGTGGTAGAACACCTGCTGAGCAAGTGTGAGGTCCTGAGTTCAAACCCCAGTGTTGCCATAAAAAAAAAAATCAGCAATAAATATAGAAGACACAACCTTTGAAAGGCATAAAAGGGTAAAGTTCAGAAGTGAAAGCATATAGCAGTTTCTTACAGCCCCTCCCAGAAACAGTCTGTGTATTGGCAGCCACAAGCACAAAGACTGCTTTGTTAAAATGTGACTAAAATAGTGAAGCTGTAAAGGCAACCTCTCAGAATCAAAGGAAAGAAACTTGTAAATCTACTGCATGATTTATCATGTAAAATCAGACAAACGAGGAAGTCCTTTGGCAGGATGAAGGACTACTGACATTTTCCTTTTCCTCCCTCAGAGTCTCGCTGGGTAACCAGACTAGTCCCAAACTTTTTTTTTTTTTTTTTTTTGCAGTACTGGGGTTTGAACTCAGGGCCTACACCTTGAGCCACTCCACCAGCTCCCCCCCCTTTTTTTTGATGTTTTTTTTTTAAGATAGGGTCTCAAACTATTTGCATAGGCTGGCTTCAAACCTAGATCTTCCTTAGTAGCTAGGATTACAGGCGTGAGCCACTGGCGCCCGGTTGTCCCAAACTCTTGATCTTCCTTCCTGCCTCAGACTCCTGAGTGCTGAGATTACAGGTGTGCACAGCCATAGTTGGCTTTTGATTTGGAGAAGGAGCTAAATGAAGAAACACTGCCCCACGCAGCTGCCCATCTCTTCCATGTGACTTAGAAGCAGAAAGGAAAAAACTCTAAATGCTCTAGAGTAACGTTGGAAAGTCAGATAACTTGCCTCTTGTCAGCACCTAAGACTTGGCCAGATGCTCTCAGGAGAATGAAATAAGACAAAGGCTTTGAAAGGCAACCCCTCTTTGTTAGAAGCAAACTAATGCAGGTAACTTGACTCAATCAAATGAGCACCTGTTCTGGACCAGCACTGAGCTGTCTGGAGCACCCCAGGCGGTAGAGTCCCAGAGTAACCCTGGGCTGACCCAGCTGGGGAGCAAATTACAGTAAGCATGTTTGTGAGAACCATCATTCTAACTGGCAAACAACAATTTCTAAAACTGTGAGCCAGCTGTTTGTGAAGGACACAGACTGATGGAACATCAAAAAGAAATTGTAAGAGACTAGATAACAAATCATCAATAAAATTCCCACCTAAACCAGCACCAGTGGTTCATGCCTGGAATCCTAACTACTCAGGAGGATTGCAGTTTGAGGCCAGCCCATGCAAATAACTCGAGACAGGGTCTTGCAAACTGTTTGCCTAGGCTGGCTTTGAATTTCGATCCTCCTGATCTCTGCCTCCTGAGAAGCTGGGATTACAGGTGTGAGCCACCAGTGCCTGAACTTTTTTCTTTTTGAGGTGCTGGGGATTGAACCCAGGAGGTCCCTCATGCTAGGCAAGTGCTCTATCACGGGGCTACAGCCCCCCTACTTCAAAATTTTTGTTTTCAAACACAGTCTCAGTAAGTTGTCCACGCTGGCCTCGAAACTGTGATCCTCCAGCCTGAGTCCTCTGAGTAGTTGGGATTACAGTTGTGTGCCAGCTTGCTCAGATTGTGTTTTTTTCTTTTTGCCTAATGTTCCAAGATTCTATCATCCCTTTGTTTCGAGAACATCCTTTTATGGTAGGTCAGCCAGCCACACATTGTCTTGAGTCCTTCACTTGACAATGTCTTTATTTCCCTGTCATTCCTGAGGCATAATTTCATCTGCTATGGAATTCAGCATTTGGTGGGTTTGTTTCTTTCAGCACTTGAAAAATGTCATGCCAGGTTCTCCCAGACTTGGCGTTTTCTGATGAGAAACCTGCAGTCATCTTCATTGCCCCCTCCCTGCAAATACTAAGATGTCAGTACTAGCCGCTTTCAGTTTTTTTCTTTGTTTTCAATCTTGAGAAATTTGATTATCATTATCTCAGCATGGATTTCTTTCGATTTTTCCCATTTGGGGGTCTGTTCAGTTCCTCCAAGTCTTTAGGTTTATTATTTTTTGCCCAATTACAGACAATTTAAGCCACTATTTCAGTTTCCTGGAGCAGCAGCACCAGACCTAGAAGTGAGAGAACTGAAGTCCAGGCCTAGAGGATCGGGGAGCAGCAGGTGGGCTGAGCTTGAAACTAAGGGCTCTGGGCTGCAGCAGGTTCCTATTGTGCCCTCAATTTCCTTTGAAAAGTATTTAAATAGAAAAAGTGAGTTAATTAAAGAAAAGTTTTAGGTAAAAATAACTATGCAATTATTTCAAAGACATAGCAAAAATCTCAAGTGGTATATGAATACAGGTGGGGAAAGACTGCTTACTACAGTCCTGCAGGGGCAGGTTAAGCCCCATGGGGAACAAATTTGAGCAGAGAGAGCAGAGCACCCTACAAAGCTGCTCAGGCCTGACCACCTCCTCGTCCTGGTTGTGTTTAGAAGAACACCTAATCCCTTTGTCTATATATCGCCTTCCAAGTGTCTAAAGAGCATTAATGAAAAACTCTATCAAGCGGCTTTCTCCTGCTATACTTACAGGCTACTGTACCTGTAACATGACTTACAGTTCAAGATCCAGAACTGCGCCGGCCCCCCCAACACCAAAAAAAGAAACAGGGAGATGTTGAAGTCAAATTTCTGAAGTTCATGCCTATAATCCTAATTATTCCCAAAGCAGAGGTTGGGAGGATCACAGTTTGAGGCCAGCCAGCACTGTAGTTGGCTTCTAATCATTAGTAGACTTCCAAGACTTCTGTCTCCAGTAAAACTAAATATGCTTTTGTAGGGTTTGGGATGTAGCTCTGTGTTAAAGCACTTGTCTACCACGAACCAAGATCTGGGTTCCATCCCTAGCACAATAAATAAATGATAAAAGAAAGACACTTTAGCCAGGCACTGGTGGTTCATGCCTATAATCCTAGCTACTCAGGAGGCAAAGATCAGGAGGATCCCGGTTCAAAGCTAGACCCAGGCAAGCAGTTCGAGAGACCCTATCTCAAAAAACCCATCACAAGAAAGAGTTGGTGGAGTGGCTCAAGTGGTAAGAATGCCTGCCTACGCAAGTATCAGGCACTGAGTTCAAACCTCAGTGTTGCCAAAAGAAAAAGAAGAGGTTTTATTTTTCATTTATTTAGTTTTATTTATTTAAAAAATAGGTGAAAACTAGGTACTGGTGGTTCACTGCTATAATCCTAGCTACTCAGGAGACGGAGATCAGGAGGACTGCGGTTCAAAGCCAGCTTGGGCAAATAGTTTGCAAGACCCTATTTCAAAAAAAAACCATCACAAAAAAGGGCTGGTGGAGTGGCTCAAGATGTAGGCCCTGAGTTCAAGCCCTAGTACCAGAAAAAAAAAGTGAATGATACTGTGATCTTTCTCTGAAGGTTTTTGTTCTTCCTGAGAGAAAACTGAAGAACCTAGCACTAGGTAGGACCACAGACCCAAATCGAATAATGCTGTTTGCTCTAAAAACACACCTGAGCTAGGCAGATAAAGAGATGAAAGCTCATTCATCCTCAGGAAATGACAATAAATTATATCCAGCTGTTCACTTCTCCCAGAATCATCACCTGAGCTGGTTTCTAAGAGCAAACCACTATGAAATCTGCAGCTAGATCAGGCAATGCAGAAAGGGGTGGTGAAAACACATGTGCTCAAAGTCTGAAGGACATGCTTCACAGTCTAGGATAAGAGTTTGTGAGGGGGCACAGGGAGTCCCTCTGCCACATGGGCAGGTCTGCATCTTAACTGTAGGGCTGGTTGCTCAGTATCTCCCTGTGGTGAAGGTTTATGAAGTCAGACATGCATAAGTGAGTGCAGTAAAAACTGGTGAACTGGAAGGGGTACGATGTGCCTCTAGTTAACCACATGGTCAACTTCCTGATTTAGGTAATTACTGTAGTCATGAGAGGTTACCACCTAGGGACGCAGAAGCTGCAGTACAGCTCTGCACTACTTTTGCAACATCTTTTGAATCCATAATTAGTTAAAAACAAAACATATGCCAGACAACAATGGCTTAAATCTGTAATCTTAGCTACTTGGGAGGTTGACATCAAGAGGATTGAGATTCCAGGCCAGCACAGGCAACAAAGTTTGTAAGACCCTCCTCCCCAACTCGATGCAAAAAAAGCTGAGCATGGTGGACTGTGCCTGTCATTCCAGCCATGGTGGAAAGCTTAATAGGAGAACTGTAGTCCAGGCAAGCCTGGGCAAAAAGAAAGACCCTATCTCTAAAGCAAGCAGAGACCAAAAGAGAAAAAGAGCTGGAGGTATGGTTC